TCCCATGGGGTGCAGGGCCCAGGGACCTGGGGCATCCTCCACTGCACTCTCGGGCCACAGCAGAGAGCTGGCCTGGAAGAGGGGCAACCGGGACAGAATCTGGCGCCCCGACCGGGACTAGAACCCGGTGTGCTGGCGCCGCAAGGCGGAGGATTAGCCGGCCCGGTCAGTTGGTTTTTACGTTAGCTCTCCCTAACTCCTGTAGACTGAAAGCCCAAGGTCCCAGATTGGGAATCCAGAGCTCAGAACCATCCAGTGTCGGCCTCTCTTCCAGTATATCCACCCATGTTCCAGCTCTAGTCAAGTCAGCCGAGTTGCTGTTCCCCACCAGGCGGGATAGCTCCTCTGTCTTTGCTGCCTTCATTGTCTGCTCCCCTGCTTGGAGAAACCCTGCTTGCATTTTAGGATGTATGTCAGTTTGGCCGTGAGTCTTTCCTGACAGCTCCCTCACCAGTGCAATTATTATTTCCTACCTTCTCTGGACTCTGAAGTCCTCACTTGCTCCTTGTTCATGACTTAATAAATTGTGTCATCATTTAAATAGCCCTCTGTCCACCTCGTCCATATTCTTGTAGAGAGATGGGATCCCTGGAATGCTGGAAGGATTGTAATTCTCTAGCAGTGTTTCTGAAAATGCGTCTGACATGCTGGTTCTACTGGATATTGATAAATACTTATCCAGTGCTTGCTCTGTTATAAATACTGTTACAAATATGTTGCATTTAGGCAGGTATTGCGGTAGCCATTTTAGAGGTGAAGAAACTGGGTCACTTGGTCCAGGTCATGATCTTGCAGGCTAGTGTCTATGAAATACGGTTAGTGGTTCCAAATTCCTACCATACTCCTAAGTTCATAAGGTGTACATGTTGCAAACCGGAAAGTTGTGTTTACCTAGGAGTATGATATGTGTCACATTCTTTGATGATAGTCACCAGTGTTTCCTTTTGAGTTGGATGTAGCCAACTCGAGGGGGCGGCTGCTCTCCCCTTTTTGGCAGTAGGTCTCTTCCCCTCTGCTGGCTGCTCTGAGTTAGTGTTACATGCCAAGGAAAGCAGGCAGGTGATCACCAGCATTTAGTTGCTGTTGGGCAGAAGTTGACACTGGGAGTGGGGTATAGCCAGCATTGTAGGAGACACTGAATGGGCCCCCTCGGGTTGGACACAGTCACAGCGGACGGGGAAGCTGGGCAGAGCTGGGAACTGGGAGCAGAGGAAGCCGGTGGGAGCAGGGCTCTGCAGGGCCACCTCAGTGGGGCGTTCCTCCCATGACACAGCCGCTACCTGCATCTCCCAGCACTTGTTTCAGTTCCTGGTTTGTGAAGAGGTACAGTTATTGCAATTGTCACGTTATGTCGACTGTATGAATGTATCATCATTGGCCAGCACATCTGGCCACGTTGACCAGCTGTGTGCTTGCTGTGTAGGAGACTTCAGGGACTGCTCCTCTGCCCTGGGTACCCGTCCCACTCCACTCCTCTGCGCAGACTTTCCTAGCAGGGGAAAATGGAGTCTGAGCCACAGTGAGCTCGGCCAGAGGCTGCATGGCGTGCAGACACAGGGCATCTGTGGGTCTGCAGCACAGAGCCCGTCGTGGGCGGGCAGAGAGCGTTTTGCCCAGATGAATGGTAAGTGGGTTATATTCCATCTCCGGGGTTGCTGCTGGCAGGGACCCAGTGCTAGGATTCAGGCCCATTTCCAGGATGCCTAGAGCTGAATGGCTTCCCAGCAGCAGCATGGGCCTTTGCCTTTCCAAGGTGGTTTTAACGGCTTGGTTGTATTCTGCTTGTGGGCCAGTCTGGGGCCCATTCTTCTATAGGCACTCAGCTCAGCTGCACCTAGGGGATGAGGGGAAAGGAGAGTCGACCTGCTTTTCAGGAAGGCTTTAGCAGCAGGCACCTGTATTCCTGGTTTTCTGTGGGTTTCTACTCAGTGACTGTGGCTCTTCTGGTCTCTTAGATATTAGCTTTACTGAGGGCTAGTCCCTAGGTATACAGTATTGGAGAGGAAGCTACAAGCTGTAGCTGTATAGAAATGACGGTGCAGGATAGCTTGATCTCACGGTAGCAGTGCCCATGTATTCCCAACCCAGTAGCTGCCAAGCTCCGTGCATCTCTAGGGGCTCAGGAACAGAAATGTCCATCCTATTCCCACCTGTCATTCCCCCTGTGGTTCCTGCTGTTTGCCAAGAGGGCTTCAGTTTGTCATTTTCAGCCCATCCCACAAGCGGACCCCTCTCCACAAGTATTTCCTGAGCTGTTGTCCCCTGGATAAGGAGTGCCTTTCTCCAGCCCCAGAAAGGTCCCCTATCCCATCCATGCAGCCAGCCAACCAGCCATCCATCCATCCATCCATCCGGCCATCCATCGTCCATCCATCCGGCCATCCGGCCATCCACCCAACATTTTAAACACTGGGAATGCACTGATGAATGAGGTATAGTGACTCCCGCAGACAGGCCCTCGGCCAGCTTGGGAGACACACACAGGCCACATGGAAGGAATAGATGGAATGTACTGTGGACAAAGAACCATGACGAGATAGCAGCAGCAGAGAGGTGAGGCAAGGGAGAATCACCCAAAGACAGTAAATGTTTGAGCCAGGGCACAGGTTATGGTGAGCCTCCCTCAGAGTTACCCTCTGCTAAAGCAGTAGCTTTTTCCTCTTTGTGCTTTTACTAGCAAAATCATCTTTCTCAATAAAGTTCTGCATGGATCACAAGTAAATAAAACATGCAAACAGCACAGAGCCTTTTCAATTGGGCATAGGATGAGCCAGGGGGTGGTTGATGTAGAGAGCCCTCTGCTTGGCTGCACCCATGCCTCGGGTCCTGACCTCCGCTCTTCCTGAGCTGGTTACCGTGGAGGACATCCGGTCGCCTTGAAGGGCCTAGAACCTTAAGGTTTGTTACAGGCAAATCTACCCGAGGCGGGTGATTCTGTCATTCCTACCCTGTGCCCAAACTGAACACAGCCAGGCTTTCCTTTTGGGGAAGAGATGCCTAAATAATTGTCAGAGTTTAAGGGGTAGGAAAGGGTGGCTCACAGTGGACTCAGCTTGCTTTTCCGAGGACAGAGGGAGCTGCTGTTCTTCCTAGGTCAGGGTGGAATGGGGGGTGCTCACTGGGAACGGGGCAGGTGGGGGGTGCCTGCAGCAGACAGGCTCTCGTCAGGGAGAAAAGCCTGCTCTGGGACTTGGGAGTGCAGAGAGCTCTGCTGACAGAGGTGTGATTTGTGGTCAGGCCTGGTCTAGTTACCTAGGGAGCCCCAAGGGAGTGCTGGGCAGACACCCCCGAGGAGGTAGCAGAGCAGCCAGCAGAGGGGAGCGTAGCTGAGCGTGTCAGCGAGTCCTACTTCTGCCTGCTCCTGGCCTGAGCACTTTCAGTCCACCCTTGTGGATGTATTGGCTTATTAATCCTCATAATCTTACGCATGAGCTAGGATTTTTACCTGATTTTGCTAATGAGGAAAGTAAGGCACAGAGGGGTCATACCAGTCAACTAGTGGTGGAACTAGCATCCAGACATGCAGCCTGGCAGGCTCCCAAGGGCTTTCGATACCACCATTGTCTTCTGTGCTGCTTTAACTGTAATTGACCAATTGCAGAAGAACTCTGTGTGTGTGTGTGTGTGTTCTAGTTTTTCTTTTTAAAAACATCCTGATGCATGGACATGGAAGTCGGTGCCAGGCTGCTTTGACCAGCAGGGAGGTTAGATGAAATGCAGCGGTCCCGGCCGACAGTCCTCTGACTTAAGGCTGCTTCATCACTCTGGGCTGGTTCCCAGCTCGTGAGGCGTGGGGACTCTGAATCAGGACTGCAGACCCAGAGGGCATCCTTCCTCCCGCGACAGGCCTTGGACATGCCCTGTTTTAAAAAGGGATGTGCTTTCTAGCTGTGTGGCTGACCGGCAAGGCTGAAACAGGGACAGCTCCGTGTGCAGTCAGTTCTGCAGACCCTGAGCCCAGTGCCTGTGGACCAGTAGTTTGCAGTGTTCCCTCTTCCCACTCCGGCAAGCTCCGCCCATCCGGAGCCTTTGGCTTGGGCTACCTTTGTGTTCCTTGGCCATTTCTCCGGTCCTTCACCTACCCCAGAAGTTTTTGTGTTTTCTGGAGACACGTTTATAAATGAGGAGGAGGCAGAGGATGGAGGGCGAGTTTGGGATTCTCTGTGGATTTTCACTATCAGTGCTCTCTGTGTCCGTCATCAGGGAAGACTAAGATCCATTTTATAAAGGCTTCGGATGCCTGTGCCATTTTCTAAGTAGAAGTTTTAGGAGTCTTTTTTTTCCCCCCAGATGGAATTACAGTGAGCGAGAAAAATCCAACATAAAGCCCCAACAGAAAATGCCATTCTGTTCAAACTTGACAGCCTATAGGAAAAATTTCAAAAATATTCCTTCAAAGAGTCAAGCAGTAGGCCTCCATTTAAGCCTTGCAACTGTTAGAGTCTGTCTCTCTCACATGTATCACTTTGAAATTTTACTCTTCTCATCCTGAATGATCAAATACTTTCCCTTGCTGTCTCATTTTGCTGCCCTGAATAGAACTGTCATTGTTCTCCAGCAGGGTATAGTTTTAGTGTCACATCATCCTGGCAAAGCATTGACACAAACCAGCATTATTCTTGGGTCAGCCTCTCTGTCCCCTTTCTTTAGGGCCTAAAGAGAGCACGTTCAGAAAGGCAGGTGGGGTTTCTAGGTCAGGGCAGGCTCTGGCGCACCTCGTGGTCTCTGTTCTGCTGCCCTCGGTGCCTGGGTCCAGATTTTGGCCGCGGTCACCAGGTAAGGGAATGGGTGTCCAGGGTCCTCTCGCTAAAGTGTGTTCAGAAGAACTTCCCCCCACTCCGTTTTGTTTCCAAAGTCAATTTATTGAATTTTAAGTCATAAAGCCAGTGATCGAAGTTTAATGAAAAATATCCTGTATCACTCAAGACTTAAAAGAACAAAAATACCCCTTAGAAACACTGCTTGGAAAAATAATCACATTAACTTTGCACACAACAGAGTCCTTTCTTTAGCTTTATTTAAGAAATTGATTACTATATAGTTCAATATATATAAGACACATCCAGTATTGTGTTCCTGATAGCAAGTGCATAGATTTTGTTAAGATATCATTTTTCACTCGATAAAAACGTTTCATGGTCACATGAAGAGAATATTCCCAGTGATTTTGCCCAAGCATGAGAGGAGAAAACAGAACACAGCAAAAATAGTGAACTACAACAGAGATGAAGAACAAAAACAGCAAATTAGCAGAACAGTCGATTCCTGATAAGTGAATAAGCTGATTGTTTGGTCACAACATTTTATTCACTTATCAGGAATGATTCACAGTACATTTTTGTTCACTGTGTTTCCTAGCCTGCTAGCTAAGAGTCCAAGCCCACAGACTGAGCGCAACCGCTGTGGGCCGGGCAGACCTGTGGCTTCCATCAGCAAGGTCAATGATGACGGTTCTTACTTCCCAAGGTGGTTCATGCATGGCAAACATACACCTTGCTCACACTGCAATGTGGTTTTACAAGATCAAAATTATAAGTATGAATTTAAGCAGGGACAAAGTGCCTAAAGGAACTACTATGTTTGTACCCTTCTTTGGAGAACTGGCTGTGCCTTTCCCTTCCTTTCCTTAGCGTTAGTATTTTGCTAAATAATGGGTACATGTACCTGTATATTTAAAAAATAAACACTTGCATCTTGGAAAGAATTGAATCACCCTCCCCCACCCACCCTCCCATCCACTCCCCACGAAAGGAAGAAAATAAAAAATGAATCACACCCTCAGCCATCTTTCCCCACTGATGTAAGCAGTGGGTTTTCAGAGGCAGACTGATGAAGGCTGATGAGATTTAAAGCAGAAGCGTCAGCAGGAAGTCAGCTCCCATCTGTGCGGTTTGGAGCTGCTGGAGGTCATTACCACGGAGGTGTTCGGCCTATGGGAGTAACAGCCTCCTTTCCTCCTCCTCCCCAGGCCCCATCGATCATTGAGCCAACTAGGAAGTACAATCAGGGCCAGAGGGGCTGCTGAAACCAGAGTCAGGAGCCTGAGCACCTGCAGGGAGAATGGCACTGGCACCCAGAGGAAGGCTGCCAGGTACCGGGCGGCCTGAGTCAAACAGAGCTTGTGCGTTTGAAAAGCTGGAAGGAGAGAGAAGACACGGGGAGCCAACACTGATGGAATCTTTTAAGAGCACTTTAAGAGCAATCAGATTCCTGAGCGTAGGAGATGGGCAGGGGAAAAGAGGGCCCGAAAGGAAGAGCTGAGTTTTTTGGACTTTTTGAGACGTGGATCATTGACTGTGTTTATCCAGGAGGGAGGGTGTGGATGCGTATGGCACTCTCAGTTTTCACGTGGAAATGGACAACAAACTGAGGACGTGAGCTTGAGAACCTTTACTTCTCCCCCCAGACTGGGTCCAGTTTGTATTTGAGCACTCGGGAATACTTCTTTTCCTCTTCTGTGAGTTTTAAGGATTCGGGTTGCTCCTGGATTCAGCTAGCCCCAAGAAACAGGTTACTTTTCTGTACCAATGTACTGATGGATGGCCACACACAGATTGACACCGCACCCTTTGCACATCTTTCCCTTGAGTGCTCACCCCTTTGAAAACGGCCAGTTTGTAATGCTATGCTTACGGCCTCGGGTAGGGAGGAAAGCCCAGGACTTCTGCTCCCCAAGGATGTGCAGTAGCAGTTTCTGACTTTAAGAACTGCAGATAGCTTCTATATACACACACTCAGGAGGGAGGGGGAGGAGAGGGAAAGTTCAGGAGAGAAGAGAAGGTGGCACTAACCTGTGTAGCCAAAAGACCATAACAGCTCTGTAGGCAGTTCTTTATGTGAGCCATAGAAAAAGTGTAGTAATCTTGGAAGCAGTGGTTAGAGTGGGCTATTGTACACAAATCAAAGGTGGCTGGTGTGCAGCTTCCCCTGTCCCCAAATCAGATATTCACTTAGGTGGAATCGACTGTATCTTTTTACACAACATAGAGAAAAGAACAGATACGTGAAACAGTGAAGTGTGTAGATGCATCACCAACACAGAATGACTACCAACAATACAACACGCAGAGAGAGAAACAAGTATTAGGAAAATGGTTTAATATTGGAGACAGAAGCAAAAAACTGCATCACACAATAACATACATTACAAAAATAAGTTTGACTGTTTCAACTACACGGTTATGTTCACAATGAGGACAGAAGAATCAGAAAAAACTTTGATCTAAACAGCAAAAAAGCAAACCCCTAAAGTTTAACTAATACATTTATCCACTTAAAGTGACTGAGTACTTCTAAGTCTAATTACCTTATTGTGTAACTGCACAATACAGAATAAAAAGTGAAACTTACCGCTGTATTTTAAGACAAAATTCTAATGCTAGATATAAGCAAAGGGAAAAAAGAATCAAGCCAAAGTTTTTAATTCTCGAAAGAAAAGCAACTTTCTTCCTGTCAACCAGAAATCAAACTTGAAGTCAGTCATTGTCAGGGGCCCACTAGAGGAAGCCACAAAAATTTCCATTTTTTTTAATCTCCAGTATAAAAAGTTCCACTGGTACAAAATGCATAAGTACAATCAGTTGTAGAAATAGGAAAGCCTGCGTGTTTTTTTTTTTTTTGGCTCAAATTCCATCAAACAACAAAATCCAAATGCATCATTAAAACAAACAATACTCAAATGGTCTTACAGTTTCCACTAGGTTGCATTAACTTTGGCTTTTCTCAGACAATATTTAAAAACTATTTTGTAATTCTAAACAAAATGATATTAATCTACAAACAGCAATTCTCACAGCACAAAAAAACACAAATACATTTTTTGTATGACATTATTCAAAAAGGTAATGAAACTACGGGTTTTTTTTAAAATTTTATTTCTTTTTAATTAGCACTGAAGAGAATAAAAACAGAAACAGTAAAATGATTCCAGAGTAGCACAAGCCAAAGAACTATAACCCCTATGGTGAAAGAAAGATGAACTTGTCACGCCTTTGATGACTGCCATTTTATCACAATTTTCTATTTTAGTTTAAAAATGACTATTCTATACACTTGGTTAAAAAAAAAGTTTCCCTGTGTGTGTTCTTCTGGCACAGGCCCTTTGCACCCTTGCAGCTTTCTCCTTTTGATATTAGAAGATAAAGTGACTAACAAGCTAGGACAGTTTGTCTCTGAAGAAGGCTATGTGTTTACCAATGTAGTACACACACACACAAAAAAAAAAAAAAGAAAAAGAAAAAGAAAAAGGTGTTCCCCCTACTTGTACTGTCTCCATCCTCTGCAGGACAGGAAATAGTCAAGGTGCCCACCTGCGCCTCCTGGCGGCAGGCTTTCCTTGCTCCTCCCTCCTCTGGGGGAGATGCCGGTGGGCGAAGAGGGCAACAGGATGGCCGTTGGCGCCGGTGACGCAATCAGAAAGCTTTGTTGACATTGATGCGGCTGATAAATGAAGGTATTCTGAATGAAATGGCCTATGGATTTCAAACTGTGTATCTCCACACCACCATATAATCCACATGAGAGAGACGGGTGGGGTGACTGTTGTTAAGCTGAGTGCTGCACGAAGTACAAAATAGCCCTCAGAGGATGAAGGAAGGCCCCAGCAGTAGTAAACGCGTGTGAGGAAAATACAAATCGCTTCAGTGTAAGTGCATGTGCTATGAGAAGGAAACTTTTTTTTTTTTAATTTTTTTTTTTTTTTTGCATCATTAGAGGCTAGTCCTTTCCATCCCAGGGCTATCGCATCCACACACACATGAAACCAAACAGGGTGCTGACTGGGAAGTGGGGGAAGGAAAGGGAGCTAGGAACAAGAAGCTTCCAGAATGGCTGTAGTCTGTGTTGGGGCTGTGGGTGTGACATCAGGGTTTGTCAAGACAGCAAGGTCTCTTGTTCGCAGAAAGTCAGTCAGCGGTATGGCACTTTCAAGAGTGGCAGCAGGAACTGGTGCTCGCTGTTTGGTCAGCGACTGATGCAGCACTGGGCCCCGCTGCTATGTCAGGCCCGTTTAAATGCATTCAGTCGTTGTAAAATGGCAAGGAAAAGGCTACTGGGCTCCTAATTCCAGACACCTTGGGTATTCAGCAGTATCCACTCACTGGGTCAGAGAATTCCCAGCACAAGGGCTGATTAGGAGTATTTACTTTGCAGAAGCAAAATCCTTTGAAAGACTCTCCCAGCACCGTCATTTAACTGCAACACATTGGAACATACTCTGCACTACAACATACCAGTAACCCGACCTGAAAAGCATACAGCATTTTTAAGATGTATTTAAGTGATGACTCTACCTTTTCCCCTCATAGCGTTTAATCTAATAAACTATTTTTAACTGAAACTGAAGTAAGAATTCCAGCAGCAAAGTAGGAATTCTTCAAAAATAACCAGAAATAACCAGAAGTTAAAAAAAAATGAAAATGGTGTAGGAGCAAAAAAGCTTTTTTTTCCCCTTCAGAGTTGCCTTGTGTTTTTTCCACTTGTATGTCAACCAAAGGAGGAGAAAAACAACAACAAAAAGAAAAAAAAAAACCCCTCATGATCTATGCAGGGGGGAGAAATCCAAATTGGAAACACCCCAAAACAAACTCAAATGATGATAGTATAAAAAAGTATCAACAACATTCCAGATAGCTCTGGGTAGAAAGGGTTAAAAGTTCAAAACTTTCTCACCTTAGAGGTTTCCATATATTATGAAGAAAATACATTGTGAGGTTGCCTTCACAGCATTGATGTGCAGAGTGGTTAAAAAAGTGAGACATGGGCACTTATACAATGTCTTACAAAAAACATCATAGAGAAATAACAAACAATAACAATTTCAGGCAACAAGACCACAGGATAGCAAGTTAACAAACTTTTTAACCTTTTTTTAAATATTAGGGATTTATACAAAACACATAATAAAATACCCATGTTATCAAATTACTTCTCACAAGAAACACACTGAAGCTCTAGGAAGGAAGTACCTTTGGAATTTGGCACTATATATTTTCACTTTTTTTCTTTAAAAGAAAAAAAAAAATCACATTTTGCTGAACACAAACACATCTAAATAGTCCACAATAAAAAAAAAATGACATCAATGCTTCACAAGCCAACACAAAACTTATTCTGGAATAGGTTTTTTTTTCCCCCTCACATGAAATTTTTTTTAAGCAAACAACTTTTTTTTTGAAATTCTTTTAAGTAAACCAATTCTAAACTTGTCTTATCGACAGAGAACATTAAGACCGTAAGACTCATGATGAAACCACAACTGAATTCACAGAAGCACCAACAGAACACAGTTTACAGTAACCTTTCTCCTGTACATTGAAACAGTATAAAATATAGGTAATTTCATGTGCATTAAACCATGGATTGTCTAACTGTGAGTCAGTTCAGCAAAAGGTGACACAAATAGGTAGCATTTGCCCCAAAACAGGGTAAATATTTTTCTTATACTAATCTACAAAAAGTGGTTCTATATATATATCTTAATGAGAAAGTGAGCCACCTAAAATGGCCTTATCAAAAAACTTTACACTGCCTGAAAAATGTAAAAACTATTACAGACCTCTAGAGACTTAAAATCAGACAGTTTTTTTCTCAAACTGTTTTTGGAAGTAGTCTGTTAGAAACCAACATTCTGTGTCCCTGGACACATATTGCTATTGTTACCAGTGACCGGGAAGAATGCCAATCCCTGTATAATACTTTCAAGTCTGTTTTATGAAAAGAAAAAAAAATACGAAAGAAACATTTTTGCCACAGGTTTTTTTCTATAATTAATTTGTCTAATAATAAATTTCAGTCTTGCATGAATGCAGCAATGTTTTTCACATTGACTTCCCAGAATTCATAGCTAGATGAGGTCACATGCAAATTTCAAAGGTCAAACTAGATCAAAGGTCAGTAGGAGAACCAAATATGATGTGAGGTCAGAAAGACATCAGAAACAATGACGGGACGATGAAACTTTTTTTTTTTTTTTTGAGACGCCACAGGGACATGCTAGGCAAACGATGAACTAACGGGCATGAAGATGTCTAGGGAAAAAACAAGGAAGAGTAAAAAGTTACACAGAATCTATGCAGCAGCAACAAAATCACTTTTAAGGGTGCAGGAGAAAAACTAATGCAAATCTTAGGTCATTAGGGAGTCTACGAGCCATTCACATAATTTGCATTTCTTACACTCTTTATCCACAGCACAATGAAACCCCAAGAGAATCCATCAGGAGAGTGTGAGGGGATGGATTCCAGGTGTTTTGGGGTAGGGGACTGGCAAGGGACAGGGGAGAGGGTCCAGTTTCAACGAAGGTGACATAAAAGGGGGGAGTCAGATGACTGAACTGTAAACTAGATCATGGAAGTTACAAACAAAATAATCAAGACAGATACAAACAACGAGAGGATAAAGCATGAACTTTTAGGTCTAGGGTTCAACGGTGAAAAAAAGCCCATTCCTAGAACAATTCCACTAGAGACTACTTCAGAAGGTTCTAGCTAGACAGAGAACTGCTCTTTAGGTACCCAATAAGTTAACAATAGGCAATAAATAACTTCCATTATTTCTGAGGCAGTAAAAATTTTGTATAAAAATAGAAATGCTTTTTTTACAAATAAAATTTACAGGCCTGTGGCTTTCTTTTTATTTATGTATTTATGTATTTATTTATTATTATTAAATTTATCTTTCAAGAAACATCAAGTATTTTCACTCATTTTTATTTTATTTTTAAACCCTGTAGCTTTAAGAAACAGATCTCTAAATCTTTTTTTTTACATTAATCCTTTCTAAAAACTAAAAACAATAACAAAATAGACAACCAGTGTAATAATCTGACCAATAAATGTCATTTTGAACCCTAAAATAAGATCCTACTTATAAAATGAACCGATGTAGTGGAAGGACGTTTGTGTTGTTTTAAGTGCTTCTCCTGGCTTCTCCCTCTTGCTAGGCCACCGAGTGAACCTCTACCTGCTGGGGCCCTTGGAGGGGCGGGTTCTCCAGGCAGTGCTCCTGGGGCACCAGTGGTTTCAGAGTTAGAATTGCACATTAGCATGTGTTTGCCTTTCAAATTCTCAAGATGTCATGTATTTATGTGTATGTTTTTCTTTAAAACAAAAATGAAAACAAAAATTTTAGAAAAGGTAAAAGGAGATTCAAATTGCAAAACAAATAGAGAATACAGTGGCACAACTGGAGGAGGAATTGACTTGATAGAAACAAGGTAGCCCAAGTTTTAAATATGGCAAACTGTGGGGGGGGGGTAGGGAAAATGGAGGCCTTATTGTAAAAATAACCGTCTCTCTTGGTCAAAGTTGGCAATGTGGTCCTCCTCTCCTCTGCCTTCCCTGTTGAGAACAGGCTGGCTCGTGGGACTTACCCTAAGAAAGCTAAAATAAGAGCAGGGAGCCTCTGGGGTTAGGATCAGTAAGGTTTGCTGTCGTTTTTGGAGCGCTTCAGCTGCACCTTCAAGCGTTTCATGCCGATCTGAAAGCCATTCATAGCCTGTATAGCAGCTTGTGCAGAGACTGGATTGTCGTAGCTAACAAAACCTGGAAAACACAAAGGGCAGGAGGGAGGGAGTCAGGATGGAGAGGAGGCAGAGCAGGGAAGGGGCACCAGGGCTTTCAGGGATGGCTGGCACCGCGTAGCCGCCAAGTGCTAGCGAGCAGGTGCCAATCCCACGGCCTTAATTTATTTGCACTCAGTTTCTTATTGCTGTGAATGTACAGGGCATGGTTTTGGGGCCACATTGGAAATGCCCACTGAGCAGCAGTGAAAAAGCTGGTTGGACTAGGTAGCATCAGGTAGAACAAAACCTTTCTCCAGAAAACCGAATTCTCAAACTTAAGTGTTTCTGAGTGAATTTAGTTTTCTTGTCAAATCTGGTTGTGGTTTACATCCTTTAGAAACCTGGTGAAGAGAACCCCAGGTAGATAAATCAGCGCTACTCATAAAAGCAGCAGTGTTTATTGTTGCATGGCTTGAAGGGCCGCCCGCAGCTTCACATGTCCCTGGAAGGCAGGAGACCTAAGGGAAGGGCTAGATACCGGCATGGGTTCTGCCAAGGAACCTGTCTCTCATTCCCATTCTGCATGCCTCTGCAGACACACAGCCTGGGTCTGGCTACAACGGGATGGGTCAGGAAGTCTAGAATGAATGACTTATCCTTGGTTTTCAACAGGGAAACTCTAGTTCTTTTCCCTTAATTTCTATTTTCAAAGCTCCAGTAAATTCATCAGATAGGAAATTGCTATGCTGTTATCTCCCAAAGTCTTGGGAATAGTCTCAATGGCTCAGGGCTTAACACACATCTCAGTAGGGTTTCTAGTATCTTTCTCTGCACCAGCCACCACCGCTACCAGAAAGTTTTGAAAAATAACCAGTGATGCTCTACAAAGACCAGAAACAGAATTCCAATGATCTAGTTTGTTCTAGCACGGGTGGGTAAGGCAGGGCAGAGGTGTAAGTAAAGCTCTGGCTAATGCTGATGCAAGTGGTGAGCTTGTATAATACCTACTTCCTTCTGGTGTTGAAAGGAAGCTGTATGGTCCAGATTTGAGTCCTGAACACATCAGCTATACTAAGTGTCTCCATCTGTCTACTGTTACAGTTAGATCTAAAGAAAAAATAGCTTTATCAAGTAGAGGAAGAAAAGCACATAAATGTACTTCCAGCAGAGTTCTCTCCTCAGCTGGTTAAGAGTGGGCATACAGCATAAGGTAGGAAAACTACATGGACAGGCTATATTGAAGAATTGTCATTTAAATTTGTATTAAAGCTAATACCCAGTAAGTGTGATTTTCAATTCAAGATGTTTGCCCTGGCTTCACTGTCTCCTTTCCATCTGTTTTTTTTCTTCTATCTGATTAAAAAAAAATTATTTGAAAGGCATAGTGAGAGAGAGAGAGAGCGAGCGAGCATGCAAGCTGTCTTCCATCTGCTCGTTCACTCTGCACATGGCTGCAACAGCTGGGTCTGGGTCAGGCTGAAGCCAGGAGCTGGGAACTCCATCTTAGGCTCCCACATGAGTGGCAGGGACCCAAGTTCTTGCTGCCTTCCCAGGTGCATTAGCAGGGCGCTGGTCTGGAAGCAGAGCAGCCGAGGACGTGAACAAGCACTCTACAAATGCCGGTGGCTGTTGCAAGCAGTGGCTTAACCTGCTGTGCCACAACACCAGGCACTCCCTCAGGGTCTTTATGTGCAGAAGGAGCAGGATGATTCACGAATGGAAATGGGGTCAAAAGATGGATAATGAGACCCAGCTAAGAGGTATGAATGGCAGAATGGGATACCTCCTTAGGAGTAGCACCTCAGCAAACTGGGGGCCCTGAGAAATCAGGTGTGCGAAAGCTTTAAATACAAAATGAAAACACAGTCCATGGTGATAAATACTTGGCTGCTGCTACTTCCTAGCCTGCACTATGTGAACACACTGGTTAAGTAGTTTGTGGACTGATATAATCTCCTTAAGCCAGTAAATATTTTCTGACATCAAACAACAAAGTGCAATCCCTTTGCAGTCTTCAAATAAGCCTCGAACACTGTTTAGCTATGAGAAACAGGAAAGTCTGCCTCCACGCTTTGTGCAGGGAAGCCTCCCGAAAGTTAGCTCATGCGCCAACATACACACATCCTCTATAACCATTTAATTTCCATTTCGCTCTCTCATGAACCATTACAAAGGGGTTTACATAGTTGCCGTGGCAGCAGCAGTGTAATGGGTTCAGGCTGACAGCCTTTCCACCAGGGTGAAAACAGCGACTTTAAATGGTTGACACACTAATTCCCCTAACAGCAGAGGCTTCAGCCCTTCTGGGGTGATGGCACAGAAATGAGAAAGATGTTATGATAATGCAGTTTCAGGAGCCAAACGTTCTGTTTGGATTGTTTACCTGTTACTAGTCAGCCAAATGGCAAATTTTAGTTTTTTGGCAATTTGAGAACCACCCTACCTTTGCTGTTTTTCTTTCTAATATGTAATTCCGTGTGTTCTCTCTGGCCCGTGTCTGCTGCATTTTGTTTTATGCTGTCGTTACTACCCACTCCCAACATGAATTAAATTACAGGACGGATCAAAGCAAATGTGCTGGCTCACGGTGAGCCAGAGCTTGCTGAGTAATAGAGACACTAACTGTCCTCACCTCTTCACTGCTTTGGAGGCAAAAGGGCTTGAACAATAAGGACTGCATGTAGGGATTGTTACCTTCCTGGGGTATCCATTTGTGTATGCTTGCACACAATGCAGTGGTGGGGGGGCAAGGAAGACCAGGCACAGCAACCTTGTGCACCGAGAGACACCTGCACTCTCCTGTGCCCCATAGCCGTTCGTGCAGCCCCTGCCCATCCTAGAAGCCCAGGTTATGGCCTTTGAATGCAGTGTTCCAAGTAACCACGGGACTGCTCAGCCACCCAGCCTGTGCAGGCAGTGAGAAACATCCTTGCTTGTGCATGTATGCATACTTAGGAAAGGGTGTGTAAGGCAGACCGTGCCCTGTACAGTGTGTGCCCACAACCCAAGCGTCTGAGTCAAGACTACACATGCAGGGGTAAAGAATTCTATTCTCTATCAGGAGGACCTAGACTACAGTCTGTTAACTGTATTTCCATCTGATAGTAGACTCTGATGCAATCTGTGGGGCTTCTAGAAATGGCTATTGCTCAATAATGAAAGATTATTAGGCAAATGTACTCAGGCACTTTAATAGTAGAGTAAAAATATTACCTAATGTATGGGCATATAGTTTAATTCCTCAGATGCTTCCTTTTTATGTAGCCATTCCCCTTTTTGCGATTCAGTAACTTTATTCAAGTCTGCTTACAGGCATCTGGAGAAAGCAGAAAACACCCCCACAAAGGGAAGGCCCTGTCTGACTCTGAGAGTATTTGTCATTCACATTTTCCTTCTGATGACTCCTCATTTAGGAACCTATTACAATATTCTAGCTTGGTTTCTTTTGCATACCAAAGCACTTGCTCAGATTGGTCTGTTTGTCAATGAAGACTTTAGCAGAGATAACATTTCCAAAAGGCATGAACATCTGCAGAATGTCCTGGTCTCCAAACTCCTGTGGAAGATGGTAAATAAAGAGGTTTGCCCCTTCTGGACCTAAAGAGGAAAAAAAAATCAGAGTAAGGTATCCCTGGAATCTTTGTTCCCACAGCCTCTTAGGAATTCTCTAACAGCAGGGAGGCTAAGTAATCACCTTTCTCTTACTCTAAAAGAGGATAAGTGTCAGGTGCTGGTCTTTGAGGAAAGTGCTCATTCTTCCAACTGGCCTGATTTCCAAAGAAATAGTGGCTGTTTTCCCTGATGGTGTTGTGTGGTCCCACGTACTTACTGCCATGTGAGCATACATCTGAGTCTCCTCTTCATGGGGAGTGAAGGTAGGAGCAGCATACGGGCAGAGACTCGAGGCTGGGTTTTTCCTGGGTGCCCATGGTTTCTCTCACAGGCACACTGGCTCTCAGGGAAGACAGTGCTGCGTGCATTTTAAGCAGATTGCAGCAACTGAGAATAATGGTTGCAGTATCAGTGCTGCTTAGCTTTCTCGATCCTTTTACCTAGTTATCCAGCCAGTTGCAATTTGTCAACTCTCTTAACACAGTCTAATAATCAGAATCTTTACTAGAAGTGACTTGCAACAAGCCGGTGTAGGCGGAAAAAAAAGGTAGCTGGAGTCTCAGCCCTTTGATGGGAATCACAGCACTGGTGACTAGGCTTGGAAATGAAGGCAGTGGATGTAGAAGGACAGAGGTAAGCCAGTTTCCTCACCTTTACCTATCCTGTCCCAAGCAGGTCTCAGGAAGTAGATGGAGAAGGGAAGCCCTTCTTCATGATACTGGTTGTAGAGATAAGCTCGCTTTGAGTGCCTCTCCTAAACTTGCTGTGGAGCTATGTGAGGGCTATCTGAAAGCTACCAGAAGCAGTGGTGGGGGCAGGAACCTAAGTGAGCAGGGTGGAGAATGAGAGCTGGATGCCTCTTGGACATTCCAGGTGTGGTATCCAAGAAGGGAGCCCACAGGACTGGTGAAGAAACTGCTTCAGTTGGGTCACAGATCTTCCACTGGCATTTACAGGAGAGGAACCAGACCTGCCTGTCCCACTTGGAAGTGCCAGGGGACAGGGTATCTATGTGTATGGGGTAAAGAAAAATAACATGGAGATAAAAAAGAATTTAGTAAGATAAATGGGTAAACAGATTTGCAAATAAATACAAAACAAGTTTCTTCTGCTGCCACAAAATAAATAGTAAAAGAAAAAAAGTGTCCTAACAAATGAGACTGTGCACAAGGAAGATTACTTCCTTACGTATCAGTGTGTCTGCATGACTAGATCGCTGTGCTCTGTTGCTCGCAGTTTCTATGGACATATACATACTTCCAGCAGGGAGGCAGGCTGCGTTTTACAGGGGTATCACTACAGGCCTCAGATCCCCAAATATTTTTTGGTTAAAAAAATCACAATTTAGTATGAACAGATACCCAAACATGGGCAACAGATGTTCTTAGTGCCCCTGTGCCATGCAAACCCTCTGCAAATGTATGGTAGCACCAGGTTTAATGTTCCTTCTAAATCAAAGGTGCAAGTGCACAAATGAGGATTAATGGGACCCAGTGTGAACTGTGAGGTACATCTTACCTCCTGCAGTCTGGGGAGAAAATACAATTTTAGTGCTGAGGATAGATTACTGGGTATGCCTGAATAATCCTGCATTCTAGAGTATATTCATAGAGAGACCAAGAAAAGAAGGAGACAGAGCAACAAACCCAAGGAGGCTTTGTCTTTCTGCTCATCATTTTCCTAGGAAAAAAACACCCAAAGCTTCCCCTGGTGTAGTGTACCCTACTCCCCTTTATCTCCACCAAGAAACAGTGGGTTTTGGCAAACTGTCAAATTTTCTAATATTAAACAGAGAAAAGGATGATTTCACATGGAAAACCTCCCTTGTATGTAACCAGGAGGAAAGACAGCAATCGGAAAGAAAACAGATTCTACCCTCCATTTCCATCTGTATATCTTCCTTTACCTGTTTCTAAGAGTGGCAAAAATTTGTTCATAAATCACCCTCTTGTATGATTTCTTCTAGTGCATGTGACTTTAACTGGTGAGTTATGTGTGTTAGATGAGTTTGTTGGTCCCAGGTGTTTGTGGAGTGTTCATGTTTTGTATTGCACACAGAGCACTTGACCCTTGACCCTGGCATTAAGCACTAGGAGCATTTGTGGGAACAAAGCTGTATAGGACCCACTGTGCCTCCTTGGGTTTCAGGAGACCCTAACCACCTGTGTCAGTATGACAGTATGGCAGTGGGTACTTGAGAATGGCAAGGAAGGTGATTAATTGTCCTGGGTTTAGGTCTGTAGGGATTTCATGACCCTTCACACGATTTAGTGGGAGTAAAATGAAAACCATTTCTTTACAAAGCCAGACTTGGCTCATTCTCCTATGGGGTAAAAATACACCAGGGTACATGACTAGATATGTGAAGCTGACTTTCGCCTGTCTTTAGTGAAGTACAGAACTGTCAAGTAGAAAATCTATTTAGTATTGGAATTCATTACATTTCCCTCCTCCCAGTATAATATACCATTTTATATTTTATTTTACTTAAACTAAGTTTAAATTTCATATTAACTGAGTAAGAAGAGAACAGAAGAGAGGGATGAAAATGATTAGAAACAAAACAGAACAAAACCTACCAACCAAAAGCGGTCCAAAATCCTAAAACCATGCTACTGGTGGTCCAAATAGCTAAATTAAAAGCATCAGGAGTCGGCCAGAGTCAGTTCAACCCTGCAGAGGTGATTGCTCCAGCAGCAACCCCTAAGACTCAAGGCAAGGAACTCAGGGTGGCGGGCTAAGGTAAAGCTCTTTTAGAAAAACACTGTTTTAGGGCCCAAATAGTGTGCTTACGCCACTGAATTTGTATGTTTTGAGTGACTGGCATTTTCTCAGTGACACAGGTTATACATAATGCAGTTTGCTGTGAGGCCTTGGTAGCTAGATGATGGAGCAAGGACTGACTGTCTCCAGATGCATAAACAGGCCAGCTGGGCCCTGTGTGAGGACAGCCTTGTCTTACAGCGTCCCGCCTCCCACCCTTATTTGTCATCACAGGAGGCAGACCCCCAGGCAGACCAACTGAAATTGAGGCTTTTCTTTGGGAAGAGGTGGTGTTGATGTTGACTCCCTTCACACTCCTGGTAAACCACAGGTGTCTGAACAGTTGTGCAGTTTAAAAAGTCTACCGTAGCAGTGACAGCTGAGAGTAAAGAGAAAGTCAAAATAATGAAAAATAACTTTCATATATGAGGGTACTTCAAAAACATGGCAGAGAAATGCACTTAAAAGATATGTACACTTCCAATGAAATTTTTGAAGCCCCTGGTAGCTTTGGTTTTTAATGATCCCCATGTTATTTAGAAAAAGAAACCTTTTCCTTTTTAAAAATTAAACACATGAGTGTCTTTTAAGCCACATCCCCTTAAAACTCACAGCTTCACAAGGTAACACTGCTGTTTCTGATAGAACACCACGCATAAAGTCAGTATTCAGGCAAAAGCAGTTTGGGGATGGGCAGAAGGAAAAAAATTTCCACATTCTAAATAAGTCAGAAAATAAGTATTTTGCTTTAAAGCAGCCTCAATTAAGAAGAAGTCAAAAGGAAGAATGACAGACTGTCCTTATTTGGACTAGCTCATTAACCATTTTATAATTAGCTCTAATGTATTCTTAGCATTAACTTCCTAAAGTTGATTCTGCCTTTCTGGCAGAGAAGCAAAGCAATCAATCACTTACTTGCCTCCCCAGAAGACCCCCAATTAAACAAAGACCAAGTCAATCCTACCCGTGGATTTTATTATTAACCCGAGACCCATCACCTATGAAGAGGCAGCCACACAATTATCATGGGTATGTGGTCTCCAAAACACCTGGGAAATGCAGGCGCGACAGAGAGATACAGAGGCCTGCATTGATTTTCCCCTTCCATTAATGAGGCGGCTGTGTATAAGGGGAGAAACTGATGGTCCATGATGATGTGGGGGAGGGAGGTACCTGTCATTTTTTGATGGCAGCAGCTAATAAGTCATTGTGTATAAGTGCACAATGGCTGAGAACTTCAAATTAAGAGAACAATGCAAAAATAAAGGATAAGAAACAGCAAATATTGAAATGAACGGCTTAGGCTTGTCAGATTTTTTTTTTTTAAACATGAATACTGAAATAAAACAATTGCTTTCTCTTACAACACTGGTTCAATATAATTTCTTCTAAAGTGTCCTACAGGCAAATACTGCCCATTGGGCTGGCCACAGTAGGCCCTATCCTGGGGTGAGGGCACGCACATACCTTCCTTCTGGCTACCCGCAGCGCTCTGCTGTTGCAGCAAGCTCTGGCTGTACAGAGTGGGCAGTGCGGCTGCCGCATACTGCTGAATTCCTGAGTAGGCCTGGGTGAGGGCGTCCATGGTGCCAGCCGTGCCATTCGTCAAGCCTGTGGCGCCAAGTCCTCCATTGAGAGCCGCCATACCTGAGAGCATTTGAGCAACTTTACAAAAAACCCAACAATAGAGAAGAGAAATAGCACTTATTCATTAGTGCTTTCCAAAGGAAGTTAGAGAATCATTTGACACAAGTACAACAGCAAGTGCATGCAGCTAGCACACCAATTAAGCCAACAGGAAATTAAAAACGAAACCATGAAGAAATAAATCATAATAATGGAGAAAAAAAAGACCTAAGCAATGATAACCCTTACTCCCTAGGCCAGTGATCAGAACTCACTGAGGCACTACAGGTGGACAATACATCTTTGTTCCATGCAATGTGCTACTGGCAAGTACTGCTGTTATCTTTTGAAATAAAAGCATTCTGCTTCTTAGTGCTTACAAGCATGATAGAGAAAAAGAAAACAGTAGTGGCAGAGGCCTATATCATCTGTACATTTAGATCCGTTTACTGGGCTCTTTGAGGAGCCTTGGGATGGCTCAAGGGGTTGAGGAAAAAAGGATAAACCTTTTTTTTTTTTTTTTTTTTTTTTTTTTTTTTGACAGGCAGAGTGGACAGTGAGAGAGAGAGACAGAGAGAAAGGTCTTCCTTTGCCGTTGGTTCACCCTCCAATGGCCGCCGCGGCCAGCGCGCTGCGGCCGGCACACCGCGCTGATCCGATGGCAGGAGCCAGGAGCCAGGTGCTTTTCCTGGTCTCCCATGGGGTGCAGGGCCCAAGCACCTGGGCCATCCTCCACTGCACTCCCTGGCCACAGCAGAGAGCTGGCCTGGAAGAGGGGCAACCGGGACAGAATCCGGCGCCCCGACCGGGACTAGAACCCAGTGTGCCGGCGCCGCTAGGCGGAGGATTAGCCTAGTGAGCCGCGGCGCCCAGGATAAACCTTTTTTTTCCTGAAGCTGTCTGAGGAGGAAATGGCCGAGTTCACAGTCCAGTGAACTGGCTCTCCTGTTACCAGTCTTTCCTCAGCAGCTGAAGGATGTTGTCAGGGACAAGGGCCTGAGGAGTGAATGGACAGCCTAGGAGGACTGAGGCACAAGAACACGGACCCATCATACAGCTCCAGAGAGCTGAGCCGCGTCGTCACCTAGCCGAGGCTAGAGAGGGAGTGATGGCGTTTTCAGCAGCAAATGGTTATGGGGTGTGCCCGTGCACACACAGCACATTCATCAGTTCCCCGGCACCTGGGGTCTCTGCCAGTGAGTTTCATGTCGTGTGTAACTGAAGTGACAGTGTGACTGACTGTAAGCTGGACCTCCGCGTGAACTCATGTGAACTGGATGTCGGCCAGAATGCTTTTTTGCTGTTTTTCTGTGTGTCCTGGCTGCTCTTTTGCTCTATTATGCTTGCTGACTGTATCACATTTTCCTGAGTACTGACTCAAAACAAGCAGTTTATAGTGTTAGCTTTCAGATGAACTCAGGAAATGGAAGCGCTGACATCAGAATTGCCTTTGGTTCCTTTATGATTAAGAATCTGGAGGAGGGGTGAGCACTGGAGTGCAGCAGGTTGGGCCACTGCTTGCGATGCCTGCATCCCATGCCGGAGTACAGGTTAAGTCCTGGCTACTTCACTTCAAATCCAGCTCCCTGCTGATACCCCTAGGAAGCAGTGGATGATTGTTCAAGTACTTGAGTTCCTGCCACCCTTGTGGGTGACCTGGATGGAGTTCCAGGCTCCTGCCTTCCACCTCACTTGGCACTGGTTGTTTCGACCATTTGGGGAGTGAATCAGAGGATAGAAGCGTGCACGTGCTCTCTCTCACTTGCTGTCTGCCTTTCAAATAAATCATTCAGAAATGTTTTTAGAAGTAGATCTCCCACCCCCCCCAAAAAAGAACTTGCTGAAAACATTAATGCAAATTTTGATGACATTAGGGCTGTTGGTTAGAGATATTAAAATAGCAAGGATGGCTAACAAAGAATTTGGTAAGAAGTCCTAAGACTAGGGTGCTGAGAAATTATACAGAGGAATCAAACAACAGGATCCCCTTAACACTTCTATCAATGTTACTGCTTGCCATCCATAGGAAGCAGCAGGGGGGAGTGTCCTATGCTCTGTGCCTTTGCCAGCTTCATCTCATAGACTGAAAGGACAGCATGTGACACACGCACTGGACCATGGCTTAACAGTAGAGGACTCAGGTCTGGAATTCCTGCCGTGGGACTTGAGGTAACTGAACTACACCTTGGGGGTGGTTCCAAGTACATTCTCAGTGCAGAGAGAGGGGGAATGGATAGTCTGTGAGGTTGTGTTTTAGCCTCTTGAGAAATGAAGTGATTTCAAGCAAAGTACAAACTCAGCTGAGAGGTGTTGGCCAGCAGAGGTCCTGCTGGATCTGCTTCAAGTTTCCTGTTATGAAGGAGTCTTTTTTTTTTTTTTTTTTTTTTGGGTCACACAAATAAACATGGTTAAAAGCTTAGAAATAGTTTGTCCTCCTAATTACGCTGAACAGCCCCGCAGACACTAACTAATCACATTTACCTCAGTGACTCTTTGCCTCCCTCTATCCCTATAATTGTTATGGCTGCTGAAGGACTGGGGAGCAATTTCCCTTTTCTCTATTTGATCTTATTTCATCCTCACCTCCCGGTACTTGTGTGATGCACAGAAACATCTGTTTCTTTTCTGGGAGAGGTGAGAGGCGGCTGTAAAGCCAGGCAGCACTGCTAAGTTCCCTTGGTTTCAATTTCGTCAGGCTGTTAACAGGTGACTACAGATCTAGCTGCTCAGGTCATGGCCTCAGTTCTCGGGAATTCAGATGCTGTGTGAGGAAATTCTAGCAGGAAAACGAGTGGTAACCTGCCACTGCATTTATCCCCTAGGGCCTGTGGTTCTAGGTGCACATGTGGGCCCCCAGGGCCATTCGCAGTTCAGCTGCTGCCTGACAATTATGGGCTGAAGACAGACGCTCCACGCTACTGAGAGGCCTCCCACTCGAGGGCAGGGACGGGAGCATCACATGTCCCCAGCACCTTGTCAGAGGGAGGGGCTTGGAGTCTCCAGGCCCTGCTACACAGGGTGCACAGGAGTGCCTGCCCGTGACTCGAAGCCTTCACGGCTTTGTTCCCCAGAGGGCCAGACAAGGCAGCTTCACTGCAGTGCTCACTGGCTCTCCTAACTCCTTTCCCTTCTGGTGTATGGCCGTTTTTTTAAACTGTCCAGGTCAGGAGAATTATCTATTTCAAACTTTTTTTTTTTTTTTGGCAAAAAGGGGAAAGTTTTCTTTTTTTGCCTTTAAATACACAAGCAGGATAAAGTTAATGCTCGTCAATACTAGAGGGACAGTAGAGTCCTTGTAAGATTGATAGCTGTACCAGGTGACATTCCAGCCACATCCTGCACCTCAGTGTGGATCTGAGTTAAAGGGTTCTCCTTGTATCTGTTTCTTACAGGCTGGGAGGTAGTCCTGGCTGGCCTTAATCTGCCTGGGGCAGGGGAGGCACCAAGTGGATGAGGTGTAGATGCTGGAGGGGCCTGTGCAGGTGAGAGGGGAAAGTGTGCCTTCTCCATCACAGAGCTTGCCTCCTCCATGGTTATAAATACCACCTCTGTGAGCAAAACTAAGAAGTACATTAAGAATATTTTAAACCAAAACTATCTTGTAAAATCTGGGGAGTTAATGTTTGCAAATCCAGGGTAGAATAGGTAACTGATAACACAGTAGAGTTTGATGAACCAATAGGAATATTCCAAATTTTGAGATGAGTTCCTGTGAGCTACCAGATGTTACTCAGTTAAATAATTAACCCTAGTTGGGGCTGGCACTCTGGTGTAGTGGGTAAAAGCCTGCAGTGCCAGCATCCTTATGGGCACTGGTTCAAGACCTGGCTGCTGCACCTCCGATCCAGTGCCCTGCTATGGCCTGGGAAAGCAGTGGAAGATGGCACAAGTGTTTGGGCCCCTGTTCCTGTGTGGGAGACCCAGAAGAAGCTCCTGGCTTTTGGCTTCAGATCAGCTCTGCTCCTGCCATTGGGGAGTGAACCAGCAGATGGAAGACCTCTGTCTCTATCTCTGCCTTTCAAATAAATAAGTCTTTAAGAAAAAATATAACCTTAGTCAACTCAGCTGCTGGAGCTAATATAGAAGCAGGAATCTGAAGAAAGCCAAGTTGAATAAAATACTTCCACTTAAAAGAACTGTACTGTGAAAGGACCAAATGATCAACCCTTTCCTCCCAGTTCATCTACATTCCTATGCATACTATATAGATGAGGAAGGCTGGAAAGAAATGACAGGTGTGGCAGACCTTCACAAGGAAGGCCTCTGTAACTGGCTGTCTGTATAATTGTGCAGTCTGACTTTACACTCAGTTGCTCTCCAGAGGTGCTCAACTCAAAATTCCAAGGAGCTGTGGGGTTAGTGAATAAATCTGTTAGAATGACATAAAAGGACACACTTAAAAAAAATGAGCATGGACATATTTTTGTGGCCACAATTGAGATGGTACTGAAAAGTAGAATCACAGGCAGAGTACCATATGCACACTACCTTTATCCACAAGCAAGCTAGTCTGCGAGATTTTGTACCAAATAAAAAAAGAAAAAGTGAGGAGTGACTTAATATATTCTTAAAGATTGGTAAGTTATTTACTGAGGTGAATTTTCCTTTGTACAGAGGAGATACATCCTTCCAAGCTATTTCTCTACCATACATAAGTAGTTGAGGGGCAGGCATTGAGCCTAGCAGGCAAAACACCTGCATCTCATTTTCAAGTCCATGGGTTCGATGCTTGGCTCCCTGCTCTGCAGCAGTGAGGGCTCAACCAGGTGGGTCCTTGCCACCCACGCGCGAGACCTGGATTGCCATCCTGGCAGTTACCATTGGATGGGAATGTTCTTTCTCTTAATAAATACATACATAAAAAGTTCGTAAATAAGTTTCACCAAGCATGCTGTTGGTAATATTCAAACAATTACAACTTTAAGTACTAGATGCTAAGCAGTTTGGAAGAATAACGTGATTTAAGCAAGGAAAAAGAAAATGCCATTTGACATACATTTAAGCATGGAAAATTGAGTATAGACTCCTGGGTGAACATAGCTGCAAAAAGTATTTCTTCATCTCTGTTAAGATATTAATTTATGAAACATGCTCAGGGAGCTCTCAACTAATCCAGAAGTGAAAACCCTGGTGGTAAATTACTCATGGTCCTTCGTCTGATTTACCCTGAGGACACTGTGCTGTTTTCTAGCCCCTGTATTCATCAAGTAAAAGGGAAGAAAAAGGATATTAAACCCAAACAGTTTATTTTAGCTGCTTGTCCATTAACTTCAAACTGCCCTTCACAAAGGTGTAGGGCCCCCTCATAGAAAAGAGGGTAAAATTCAGGCTGAATTATCCATCTACTTTTTTGCTGAATACTTTGTTCATGGAAGAGTTGTCTTCCAGAATACCCTCAAGGTAGCGAGAAATGGTTCCTGGTACAGATATAGCAATGGTTTAGAAGTTGGTGGCCACTGAAAAGCTGACTCTGTCCAAGTAACCAGTTCTTGGTTACCTTCTTTGAGAACTATCCAGTAGAACCAGTAGCAGTATCCTAGAATATTCCATCCTAGAAGGTTTTCTCTTTATCTAATTTGAGACAAATCGCAAATATTAGCTCCCAGTCAGTGTTCAGACTGTAAAGTAGCTCTTCATTAGTAACACATATCAAATCAGAAGGAATGTATTTTTGTTTGAGCAGAATTTTGGTAAACACTGTCTGTTAGTTGTTTTTTGAAGCCGGAAATATTTGTAATTTCCCACAAACTAAACATACCTCTGTTAACAGCAAGGAATTAAAAAAATGTAAGCCTGTTGTCCTTGCCAGAAGCAAACTTCGTATAACACAAAACCCCACGGAAAACCAGCTGCTGTTTCCCTGCCCTGTAACAGAGTCCCTGTCCAGTCCTCACTCTAAGGATGGGTACCGCCCAGCGACGCACAACAGAGGGAGGTGGGAGGAGCAGGACACAGACAAGAGGACACACACGCAGCAGTCATGAGCACGTGCTGAGGAGGACAACCATTCCCACTGGCCTGTTACTCTGCAGACCAAGGACAGGCAGGCGATCAAATCAAAGTCCTTGTTTGAGGGGAACTAGGTCCTGGGGCAAGAGAAGCAGCATGAGGGGACGTGTGCGAGCACACCCATCCTCAACCTAGGTGGAGGCAGTGGGCTGGTGCTTCTGCAGGACAGGGTCAGAGAGAGGAGCTGCACCGGGAGTCAGGGCAGTAAGGCTCCTACTTGGCTGCTGCAAAAGGGAAAAGCTGGAGGCAGTTTGAACGGGAATAAAACATCCTGGCTGGCATACAGGCCCCACTTCATGTCCTAAAGGCTAATTAGGAATCATATTTGCAAGAAAAATATTTTTCTTTCCCTATGGTCAGGTAAAACTCAGTGCAAGTTTTTGTTTTAGATCATCTGAATAAAAAGACTTAACAAAATCTGAAAATTTCCTACTTCTAAACATATGATTTATTTTCTTACCCAGATTATAAAAGTCCATCTTTATTTGGGTGAATTTTCACGATCTTTTTTTACCAACTAAATTCCAAGATTCTTTTTGAATTACTGTACTGTTTTTGCTTTGAAAACAGATACTAATAACCCCTTTAAAACAGCTAACTTAGGCAATCATGGGTTAAAAATCAAGGACCCCTTTATTAAACATAAAAATGGAGGTTGCCTGGGCTATATGATAGGTAACTTGAGACCCCACTGAGAACCTCTGTTGGCTGTCATGGACCTGCTGGGCTTGGCTACTCTCAGGCAGTGGGATGGGGGAAGAGCGAATGGAGGGACAAATTAGGTGTCCTCTCTGGGCTAGGGGTCATAGTCTCCACTGCAGGAAACCCATACCTAAGCATGAGTCTAACATGTGACTTACCCTGTAGCATGGTTACTTTTCTCTACACAGAGCTAAAATGACAGGCATGGGTTTGCTACGTAGAATAGAACCCAGAGTTCTTTGCATTTCAGAACCAAGTGTACTTAGAATTTCTAAGCTGTCTGCCTTAAGCCTCTCTGAACCAGCCACAGTAAGATGATGCTCCTCTGAACTGCTACAGCACAAGCCATGGCTGTGGGTGTTAATACGGATTCTAGATGATTCCACTTCCAGCAGTGGCTCCTCTCCACCAAGTTGCATTTCTTTCTTTCCAAGGACCTTATTTGCTTCTCTATAATTGTCATGGGTCTTTGGCTGTTAGAGCTAGAGGACGGCTTTTACCAAGTGATCCAGAGCTTTCAGCTGGCCACTCTGAAGCCCAGGGAGGGAGCAGTGATTCACCTGCGCTCCTCCAGGTGCCTGGCTGCACTCCTGCTTCCTGACTTGCAGTCTATTCATTTTTCTGTTACAACACCCTGCCTCACAGAACGGCACCCAACTTAAACAAACTGAACTCCTCGAAACCTGAAAACAACTGTCTGTCGCAGAGAGTACACATCCTACGTACTGCAAAGCATCTGGGATGCTGAGTGCTGGAATTTTTTTTTTTTTTGAGACAAAATGTGGCTAGCTTTTGCATATCAAAGCATGTGCTCCTCCATCCCAAGTTTTAGTTCTCCCCATTGTACATCCTTTTTAGGTCATTTCTGGCTGACCATTTTCTGTGGAGAATTTGGGGGAAGGCTGTCCACCAGAGCAGCAAATACTCACTGTTTATGGTACCTGCTAGTGCGTTAATATTATTCAATCCAACAGTGGCTCCAGCCAATCCTTGCAGAGTCCCAAGAGAGGTCAGAGAATTCATGGCTGCACCAGCAGTGGAGTTAGGGGTTGAAGCAGCCACTGGAAAACAAGAGGAGAAGGGAGAGAGGGAGAGAGCACAAGATGAGTGAACGCCGACTGGATTGTAACGTAACCTGTCAGCACAGCAGATGGAGCCAGGTCGTCACTTAATCACCGGAAGTCCGTGAGCCTCACTTGTGTTTTTGGTGAGAGACATGTGGCACTGTACTTGTGGGAATTCTGACAATCAGATTTGGTGATTAAAGAAGTCATCATGGCTGTGTTTTTGCAAATACAGCAAATATGCTCATTGCTGACTAATTAGTAGTGGGGTGGTTTGTGAATGGGGGAGTCTATCCTGCTGGACAATCCCTCATTCGTCCTACTTTAGGAAACAGTCCTCTAGGGTTCCTTTCTTACCCACGCTAAGAAATTACTGGAGCAGAAAGAGGGCAGAGTTAGGGGAGTAAAATGGCATTTTCTCAATGAAGTCTTGAAGGGAAAAAAAAAAGCACCTTCCTGAGTTTGACGGGAAACTTCTATACCCAGATGGTGGTGGTAAGACAGAGGGTTAAGTGATATGAGATAAAACATTTGGGTACAAACCATTTCCTTCCCTTATTTTTTTTTAAACAATAGTTTTATTGACAAACCATAAAACTGAGCCCTTTAAAATACACAGTTCCGTGGTGTTTAGTATGTTCGCAGAGTTGTACAGCCTTCACCACTAGTTAAAATAAGCATTTTTGTCACCTCCAAAACAAACTGCTACCCATTAGTATTCACATTCCATTTTTTCATCCCCTTCAACACTAGCAAGCATTAATCTACTTTCTAGGTTTGCCTCCTCCGGATGTGTCCTATCAATGGAATCGTACAGTAGGTGAGATTTCCTGACTGGGTTCTCACTGAGCATACTGCTGTCAAGGGTCACCCAGGCTGGGGCCTGCAGCAGTACTTCATTCCTTCTGACTGCCGAGCAGCACTGCGTTAAACGGGATCACATTGCATTTTGTTTATTTGTTAGCTGTGGACATTTGTTATGAATAATGATGTTAAGAACATTTGTGCCCAAGTTTCTGTGTGGACATTTGTTTTCGATTATCTTCAGTATATTCTCTTGAGGACTGCAGTTGCTGGATCCAGTGACACATCTGTATTTAATATTTTTGAGGAAGTGCTCAACTGTTTTCCAAGGTGTTCGTATTCCTTTCTCCCCTTTGTACTTTGCCTAACATTTACTATAGCTTCACAGTCTGCTAACCTCTCTCATGGGCGCTATCTGACTCTGTCTTGATGACGGAGGAAAAGGCTAAACTTAATTCTGACCACTGCTAAAAGCAGCACCTGGTGCACTTTAACTGTAACATCCTGCGTGTGTGACCTCCCTTCCCACCCAGGACAGCCAGGAATCTCATCTGTCCTCCTGGGGTGCTCTTGTGCAGGTGAAGCCCTGCTTCCAGGGGTAACACAGCAGTGACCATGCTGTCCCGTACCGGGATGAGGCCAAATCAGATTCCTAAAAAATTAACTCCCCACTCTATCACATAACTCTTTATATATGACATCAGCTTCTGCTGTCTCATTTTGTGTTCTTTTTAAAAGAAAATTCTATATAATAAAGTCAACATTTCTAATCCTACTGTATTTTTAAATTTTGAAACACACATAAAAGTGGAGACAGTAACATGGCAGTCCTAGAAACTCACATCCAGATTCTAAAACATACAAGAACCAACTCCTTTTCTCTCCAAATGAATTTTTCAGCAAATGTCAGCTCTTACATCATTTCACTCCTACATAATACACAGTTCTAAAAATTGTGGACGTTTTAAAATTTCAAAGCCACTGTATGTATAATAAAATTGGCATTAATTCTTTGGCTTCATTATTTGATAATATGTTACTTAGAATTTTCTTCATCTGTGTTCTTGAATAAATGTGGTTTTTATTTTTTCCTTCTTTTACTGTCCTTTGTTTTGCTATTGACTCCATAAAATGACGAGAAGAGTGTTCCTGTTTTTTTTCTTCTTATCCAGAACTGCATGAGTTTGTAACTACTTGTAACATAAATGGTAGAACTTGTCAATAAAAACTGGACGTTTCATGGGATAATTCTCAAATACTGATTACACTGGATAAATAGAATTATATACATTTTCTTTTTACTCTTGAAAGGGTTTATTAGGTTATTGCTTTCTAGGAATTTGAATACTTTAATGTTTCAAATATGTATCAGTGTAAAGCTATTAATACTCAAAAAATTTAAAAAATTTGGAACAATTACATTTAAGACTCATTTTTAAATTTATTTTGAAAGAGAGAGGGAGAGGCAGAGAGCAATCTTCCATTTGCTGGTTCACTCCCCAAATGGCCACAATGGCCAGGCCAAAGCCAGGAGCCACAAGCTTCTTCCAGGTCTCCCACATGGGTAGCAGGGGTCCAAAGCACTTGGGCCATTCTCTGCTGCTTTTCCCAGCCAGGAGAAGCTCTTGGCTTCAGAACAGCCCAGCTCCAGCCATTGTAGCCATTTGGGGATGAACCAGCAGATGGAAGATCTCTCTCTCTGCCTCTCAAATAAATCTTTAAAAAAAATTTTGTCATTTCAATTCCATTTTGCTCTTCTAATAATGCATATTTATTGTTTACATATTGCCAAAAAAACTGTAATATCCTTTATTTTTACTCTCTGCAACAGCAATTAGAGGAACTTAGAATATGTTAACTCAGAAAAGCACCTTCCTAAATCAAGTGTGCTGTATTCATGTTGTCATACATTTTTGTTGAGGCCTGGTTTTTCTGTTTTATACATTGATATATTTAACATTTATTTGCATTTATCCACATAGTTACTGCTGCCTGTGCTTATGATTTCTTTTTTCTTCCATCTGGGATTAGTTACTCTAGCTTGAAGTATTTCCAGTAGGGTGATGGTCTCTTGGTAAAAAAGTCTCTCAGCTTTTGTTTGCAGGAAAATGACATCCTTATTTTGTCCTCCCTCCTGAAATCCATGTTTGCTGGCTGTCCCAGGTTGACCATTTATTTCAGCGCATTTTACTGCCCTCTCGCTTCTGCAACGATGACAGGGACTGGTATGTCTAAATGTGTTCCCTTGAGGGTTGTTGCCTCCTCCCTTCTTTGGCTGTTTTAAAGATCTTCTACTTGTCTTTGGTGCCCTGTGTATTTTGCTGTGGCATATCTAACTATGGATTTATTTTCATTTTCCCTGCTTGGAATTTATTAGGCTCCCTGAATATGTGGATTCTTTTTGGATGGGGGAGGGGTTGTCTTTTTTCAATTCTGGGAAGTTCTCAGTCATAAACTGTTCTTACATTTCCTTTTCCCCATTTTCTTTCTAGTTTCTCTCAGATTTCCAGTAGCATTAGGAGACTGTTAGATGTGTTTCCATATTACTTACCCCTCATTTCCCTATTATGCATAATCTCCATAAATTTGTCTCTCAGCTCACCAAATTCTCTCCATTTTTTTTTAAAAGATTTATTTATGTATTTGAAAGGCAGAGTTATCAGAGAGAGGGAGACCTTTCATCCACTGGTTCCCTCTCCAAATGGTCATAGCGACCGGAGCTGGGCTGGTCAGAAGCCAGAAGCCAGAAGCCAGGGGCTTTTTTCCGATTTCCCACATGGGTGCAGGGGCCCAAGCACTTGGATCATGTTCTGCTGCTTTCCCAGGCACATTAACAGGGAACTGGATTGGAAGTGGGGCAGCTGGGACATGAACTGGCTGTCTATATGGGATGCTGGCATTGCAGGCAGCAGCTTTACCTGCTACACCACAACGCCAGCCCCTCCTGGGTTGTATTTAATGAGCTATTAAAATTACATACTCGTTGGCGGGTGCCGCGGCTCACTAGGCTAATCCTCCGCCTAGTGAGGCACCCCGGGTTCTAGTCCTGGTTGGGGCGCCGGATTCTGTCCTGGTTGCTCTTCCGGTCCAGCTCTCTGCTGTGGCCCGGGAAGGCAGTGGAGGATGGCCCAAGTGCTTGGGCCCTGCACCCGCACGGGAGACTAGGAGGAAGCACCTGGCTCCTGACTTCGGATTGGTGCAGCGCACTGGCTATAGCAGCCGTTTGGGGGGTGAACCAATGGAAGGAAGACCTTTCTCTCTGTCTAATTCTGCCTGTCAAGGAAAAAAAAAAAAAAAGAAATTACATACTCATGGGGCCGGTGCTGTGGTGGTGCAGGTAAAGCCGCCACCTGCAGTACTGGCATCCCATATGGGCACCAGTTCAAGTCCTGGTTGCTCCTCTTATGATCTATCTCTCTGCTTTGACCTGGGAAAGCAGTAGAAGGTGACCCAAGTGCTTAGGCCTCTGCAACTGCATTGGAGACCTGGAAGAAGCTCCTGGCTGTGGCTTCAGATAGGCTCAGCTCTGGCTGTTGCAGCCTTTTCGGGAGTGAACCAAACAGATGGAAGATTTCTCTCTGCCTCTGCCTCTCTGTAACTCTTTCAAATAAATAAATAATCTTTTTTTTTTTTTTTTTTTGACAGGCAGAGTGGACAGTGAGAGAGAGAGAGGCAGAGAGAAAGGTCTTCCTTTGCCGTTGGTTCACCCTCCAATGGCCGCCGCGGCCGGCGCGCTGCGGCCGGCGCACCGCGGCCGGCGCACCGCGCTGATCCGATGGCAGGAGCCAGGAGCCAGGTGCTTTTCCTGGTCTCCCATGGGGTGCAGGGCCCAAGCACCTGGGCCATCCTCCACTGCACTCCCTGGCCACAGCAGAGAGCTGGCCTGGAAGAGGAGCAACCGGGACAGAATCTGGCGCCCCAACCGGGACTAGAACCCGGTGTGCCAGCGCCGCTAGGCAGAGGATTAGCCTAGTGAGCCGCGGCGCCGGCCTAAATAAATAATCTTTAAAAAATTTACATACTAAGTTTTACCTTTTCATTATATTTTAGCAATCTTTGGTTATTTTTATCCATATAAAAGGCAGAGAGACAGAGAGACACAGAATTTTTATCCACTTGTTTACTCTGCAAATGCCCACAAAAACTGGGGCTGCACAAGGCCAAAGCCAGGAGCCTGGAACAAAATCTGGATTGCCCACATGGGTGGCAATTTGAGAACTTGACCAATCAGCTGCTGCCTCCCAAGGTGTGCATTGATAGGAAGCTAGCTAGAATGAGGAGCAGAGGCAGGACTGTCACCCAGGCACTCTAAAAAGGGATGCGAGTAATGCCAATCAGTGTATTAACTACTGTGCCATACACCGGCCTCTGATCATTTTAATAGTCACCTCCCATTTTCCACATCTTTTAAATTTCTGTAAGCATAGTAGTTGCACTTCCTTTCTCTTATGTATTAGTAACTCCAGTCTCTGAGTTTTTTTTTTTTTTTGTATTTAAGTGATTTTAGGATATTATATTAAATTCCTAGTTTTTTTTTGGGAATAAGAGAGGGAAGAGATGTATAATTTGGGACATGCTCAAGCTGACTTGCCCCAAATGGTAGAGTTAGAAACATACCAGGGGATTCCAATTCAATCCCATCAAGGTGGCATGTACCAATGCCATCTCACTAGTCCATGTGATCAATTTCAGTTCACAATTGATCATAATGAAAGGACTAAGAGTCAAAGGGAGCACATAAACAAGTCTAGTACCTGCTAACACTAACCGATAGAATAAATGAAGGGGAGAGTGATCCAACATGGGAAGTGAGATACTCAGCAGACTCATAGAATGGCAGATGTCCTAAATAGCACTCTGGCCTCAGAATCAGCCCTAAAGGCATTCGGATCTGGCTGAAAAGCCCATGAGAGTATTTCAGGCATGGAAAGCCAAGACACTCTGGCAAAAAGATCTCTGCGAGTGAGATCCCAGTGGAAAGAACAGGTCTTCAAAGAAGGAGGTACCTTTCTCTGAAGGGAGGAGAGAACCTCCACTTTGACTATGACCTTGTCTAAACAAGATAAGAGTCGGAGAACTCAAGGGGCTTCCATAGCCTTGGAAACTCATGACTGGTGCATAGGGAGATTACTGATGCCATAAACAGGAGTGTCAATTTGTAAAGTCAACAACAGGAGTCACTGTGCACTTACTCCTCATGTAGGATCTCTGTCCTTAATGTGCTGTACATTGAGGCTTAATGCTATAACGAGTACTCAAACAGTATATTTCACTTTGTGTTTCTATGGGGGTGCAAACTGTTGAAATCTTTACTTAATGTATACTAAACTGATCTTCTGTAAAAAAAAAAAAAAAAAGAAATTATCAATTCCCAACTTGACTCTCACTGGGATTAAACATGACAATAGGTCTGATCTCATCATCATTTAAAAAAAAATCATCTATTATTTTTCACTTTATGTTTCTATGTGGGAGCAAACTGTTGAAATCCTTACTTAATGTATACTAAGCTGATCTTTGTATATTAAGATAATCGAAAATGAATCTTGATGTGAATGGAAGGGGGGAGGGTTGTGGGTGGGAGTGATGGTATGGGGGGGAGCCATTGTAATCCATAAGTCGTACTTTGGAAATTTATATTCATTAAATAAAAGTTAAAAAAAAAAGTAGAATTAGCACATAAAGAATTGGGGGCAAGCACCCCAGGGAGCAATCTGTTGGTTGCAGGAATTCAGGGTATGGTGGGAATCAGTCAGTGCTTCTCAGATGGACTGGAGGGAGGGTGTCAATCCAGTAAGTCAGTTCACCGGAGACTGGTGGAAACTGTTTTACACATGGGGCATAGCTGGGACCTGAGCCACAGCCAGGGGTCCTCAAAAATGGCATATTACATTTTCCTGACAGTGGTGCTTCCAGGCTCTCATTGGCACGATTTTATCTTCCACATAACCTTTCATTTACCTGTGCTTTCTAAAGGAATCTATTAATGCATTAGATTCTCAGGGTCACAGAAACTGCATGATAATGACTACAACACAGTTCTCGTGTTAATGTGATATTAATACAAAGAGAACAGTTTCAGTGTAGTTCACAAACAATTCTAAAACTATAATGCAGTAGTAGCTGCGATCTTGGTGGATCTAAATATGGTGTTAACTCTTGTTTCTTTTTCTCTTGGTAAACTGTTGACATTTCTGTGACTTTTTTTTTTTCTTAGATTACCTATCTTAGAACTTCTACGACTTTTGGTTATTAGCTTAACTGTATTGGAACTTATTTCTAGGAATTTTTTGAGACCTGGGTTAAAGATAAGTCCTTTCAAGGATGACATACATTGGATTCCTAAAAGGTGCTTGAGGAAAGTAAAAGCCGGTACCACTTTAAATTCATGGTTTGAGAGTTTTTGACCACTTAAGATAAAATAAAATTGGGTTTTAAACTCATATGAGGGTTAGTTTACTATAAATTTTCACAGGGACATCCTCTCAGTGATACCAATACCAAGTTCTGAGATGGACACTTCTTCTATAGTTTCCCAAGGGGCAGTATAGAGTTTAGCCTTTTGGGGTTTCAGACTTCATGGAAATGGTCTCCTATTAACTACCTCAGTTGGACCTGGGGAGCCTTGTGAGCTGATGGTCAAGTTTATCTGGTTGACCAAATGTCCTTAAGGTGAATGCCATCTTTAGTGTGCTACTCATGTCTCTTATTTTCCTCTGTTAGTTTATCCTTGCCTTCTGAGTATGCTTAGTAGTTTAGTAGTTACTGGTGTGATTAAAAATATGTAGAGTTGGCTTAATGGCCAGACAAGTAGATCTCACTTCAGAGTGCCTGGGTTCCATATCTGAATCTGGTTCTGGATTCCAGTTTCATATTAATGCTGACCCTGGAAGGCAGTGGTAATAGCTCAAGTAACTGAGTTCCTGCCACCTATGTGGGAGGCCTGGATTAGGACATTTGAGGACTGAACCAATACTGAACAAGCACTCTCTGACTCTCAAATAAATAAATATGAACATTTAAAAAATGTTTAAAATAATCACTTTTTTCTGGTATAAAGTTCTGTTTAACTATTCCACTCAACTTGAAGAAACAGGAACCAGGACCTTTCCCCCTCACCCCAATCTGGGATATTTTCTGTGGACTGTAAGTGATGTCATTCTACATATAATTTTTTTTTTTTTTGACAGGCAGAGTGGACAGTGAGAGAGACAGAGAGAAAGGTCTTCCTTTTGCTGTTGGTTCACCCTCCAATGGCTGCCGCAGCTGGCGCACCGCGCTGATCCGAAGCCAAGAGCCAGGTGCTTCTCCTGATCTCCCATGGGGTGCAGGGCCCAAGCACTTGGGCCATTCTCCACTGCTCTCCCGGGCCACAGCAGAGAGCTGGCCTGGAAGAGGGGCAACCGGGACGGAATCCGGCGCCCTGACCGGGATTAGAACCCAGTGTGCCGGCGCCGCAAGGCGGAGGATTAGCCTAGTGAGCCGCAGCGCCGGCCTATATATAATAATTCTTAGCCAAATATTGTGCCTGTGGGTGAGGGGTAAAAATATCCTGAATGCATGCTTGGATTTTAAGCCAGCAAGCAATAAAGGCCTGGAAAAAAAAAAAAGGACACAGTTTCAGGTGACACCAAGGATACCCATGCACAATGTGGACTCTCCCCAGGGAAAAGACCCTAACTAGTGAAAATTACAAAACCCAATGAGCTTGGAAATTTCCCTAACTGGATATACAAATGAAGAATTTTTTTTTTTACTAAATTTCACGATGAACAACAAAAATCCATAGCATTTGAGCCACAACCCCCACTCCAAAGCTCAGCACAGTGGAAGCTCTGCTCCAGGTAAGTGTGGTAGCAGATTTACTCTAGGTCATGAAAAGTGGGGGTCTCCACTCATGTGATGGAAACTCTACCCCAGGCCCAGAATACTTAGAGTGCTGGGCCCCTTTCACCCCCACTCCACCTTTCTTAAAGAGGGGAGGTTCTGTGGGTTCTGTGCTGGGAGAGATCAGTAGAAAAGACCCAGTGTTATGTTGCCACCCATCTTATAGATCAGAGGTATTCAGGGAAAAGCAGGCGGCTCGCTGTACCTTGTCACCTACGGAGCAGTGACAACTCTTCCTGAGGGGAGTGGATTTATTTGGAACAGAATGTGGAAGAGTCCAAGCCCAATACGCTGTCGATAGAAATTTTTGTGGTAAGCAATTAAGAGGAGGCTGGTAGCTCCATGATAGCATGGCAGACCAGCTAAAGTTTAACAGAGAGAGCCAGGGAAAGAAGAGGCTAAGAAGAGCCCTCTTTGGGTAAGAGCAAGCCGCAAGATCTGGCTCAAAGACTACGCCTACAAATGCACCTGATCAGATCAGACTGGGGGGGGGGGGTCATTTGTACCTCTGTACCTCAGAGCCAAAAGCAATAGTGCAAATAACTAGAAATTAGTAAAATTAGTAGAGGCTAACATCTGGGTATGATAATAATAGAGACAGGCCAGCCAGAAATTTAACGTAGACCAGGTAAAGAGGCAGGCAAACACAGCAGTTTGGAAAATTGTGTCATTTATAAAAGGAAAACTAATGATGTCACTCAAAGCTCAAGGCTGTGTCCTCTGAGGAGGGATATTAGAGGCACATTGCAAGGGAATACACAGGCTCAAGTTACAGTGGGATTAGGTCTTGCCAAACTCACTGTGAACTGGAAGTATCAAATTGAAAATGCATTTGATAACACTGAATCTACTGAACAACTGAACATTGTAGCTTAGCAACACAATATTAGGATACTGCAGAGTTTTGGTTTGCTTAGCCTTATGATCATGTACGCTGGCTGGGGGGTGCGCTCATTGCCACCACCCCACAATCACAAGAGGATCATTCTGCATATCAATAGCTTAGGAAAAGATAAAACCTCAAAATTCTCGAAGTATGGTTTCTTTTTTTTTTTTTTTTGACAGGCAGAGTGGACAGTGAGAGACAGAGAGACAGAGAGAAAGATCTTCCTTTGCCGTTGGTTCACCCTCCAATGGCCGCTGTGGCCGGCGCACTGTGGCCAGCGCACCGTGCTAGTCCGATGGCAGGAGCCAGGTGCTTTTTCCTGGTCTCCCATGGGGTGCAGGGCCCAAGCACTTGGGCCATCCTCCACTGCACTCCTGGGCCACAGCAGAGAGCTGGCCTGGAAGAGGGGCAACCGGGACAGAATCTGGCGCCCCGACCGGGACTAGAACCTGGTGTGCCAGCGCCACTAGGCGGAGGATTAGCCTAGTGAGCCACGGCGGGCCGGCCCCGAAGTATGGTTTCTATTGAATGCATTTTACCTTCTTATCATCATAAAGTTAACAGATGTCAGGTTGAACCATCCTAAATTGAGGACTGGTCTGCAGATTTCACTAAACTAAATCTTGCTAAGTCACTAAGCAAATAAGAAACCTGTGGAGGAGTTTGGAGTTTGCGATGTGGAGTGAGGGAGAAGGATCAGTATCCAGAGCTGCTGTATTATCTGAAATGTCCAGTTAACAAAATATTATGACACATGCAAAGAAGCATACAACAAAGTGTTTGAGAGGGTTCAGATATTAGACTTAGCAGACAAATATGTCAAAGTGGTTTTATGCCTAAAGGATTTACTTAAGAGCAAGGGAAGGAAGGGGAGATGGTGGGGTGGGGAGAGAGAATGGTTAGGGCAGGGCTGAAGCCAGGAGATGGGAATGTAATCCTGGTCTCTCTTGTGAGTGGCAGGAACCTTAACCACTAGGCCAAATGCCCACTTCCATGAGTACAGCATTGTAGAAAGGATGACAGTGTTGTAGCCTACAAAGACTATCAACCCTCCAAAAAAGAAATTATGAACAACATGGAGATTCTGGGGTTGAAAAGTAAAGAACATAAATGAAAAAATCACCAGATGGATCAAAAGTAGGTTTGAGTTGGAGGAAAAATGAGTGAACCTGAAGATAAATTGATAGAAATTATACAGTCTGGGGGCCAGTGCTGTGACGTAGCGGGTAAAGCCGCTGCCTGCAGTGCCAGCATCCCATAGGGGTGCTGGTTCAAGTCCCAGCTGCTCCACTTCCGATCCAGCTCTCTACTATGGCCTGGGAAAGAAGTAGAAGATGGCCCAAGTAGTTGGACCCCTGCACTTGTGTGGGAAGACCCAGAGGAGGCTCCTGGCTTCAGACTGGCACAGGTCCGGTCATTGTGGCCAATTGGGGAGTGAACCAGAGGATGGAAGACCTCTCTCTCTGCAACTCTTTCTCTGTTTAACTCTTTCAAATAAATAAATAAATTTTTAAAGAAACAATTTATACAGTCTGAAGAACAGAGATGGAAAGGCAAAGAAAAATGATCAGCTTCTTAGAAAAACATTAAGCATACTAACTCACATGCAATCTGTATATGAAAAAGGAGAAAATACCAGAAGTAATACACAAAGAATAGCTGATTATTTCCCAAATGTGATGAGAAAACACTAATCTACACATCAAAGAAAAATCAACGAACTCCAAAAAGGATAAATACAAAGAGTTCTATACCCAGGTATGTGAGAGCAAAAATGCTGAAAACCAAAGAGAAAATCTTGAAAGCAGCAAGAGGAAGAAAAGACTCATCATGTACAAGGGGAACCTGAGTAAGAGTAACAGCTGACTTTCCAGGAGAAACAGTGAACCAGAGGGCAGTAGGATGACACTTGACATGACTCCCAAGTGCTGAAAAGGAAACAAAACGGATCAGCTAGGAATCTTATATCCAGCAAAAGTATTTTCTAAAAGTGAAGAAACATACATTCCTAGAAGACCAAATTCCTTGGAGGCACACCTGCCTTACAGAAAATACTGAAGTTCTTCAGGCTGAAACAAAGTAACCCCAGCCCAGTAACCCCCAAATCCCCCCCCGTAGGCACATAGTATAAAAAAAAAAACAAAAAAAAAAAAACCCAAAAACAAAAAACCCTAAGAACAATGACAAAATTATGTAGTTACAGAAGATAGTACAATTGCACTTCCCTCTTTTTTCTTCCTTTAAATGACTTAGAATCAGGTGACTAAAGCAAATGTATACAGTTGCATATTTAGATCTGTATTTGATATATAGATCTATATTTGATAATGTCAGCACAAAGAAGGTGCTAGGGGGCAAAACTTGTATTGGAACACAGAGAATACACCAGATAGTAACTCCAATCTGCAGAAGAAGCAAAGAGAACCAGAAGCCATAAAAGGAGGGAAAAAGAAAATGAGCTCTATAAATCTAGCCCTCTTCTCTTTTATCTTTCAATTTCTTTGAAAGACATTATACAAAGTAGTAACTACAGCAATATGTTTTTAACACAAAGCATCTTCAGAATGTTCATGGAAAATGCATAGATCTCTATTTTTTTGGCAGCAAAACTTTTAAAAAAAAAACCTTCATTTACAGATGTAACAGCACAGAAAAGGGTAGGAGGGGGAAGATTATAGAGGTTTTTCTATAATTTAGTGGAATTAAGAGTAGGTTCTGATAAGCTATGATCTACAGTGTAAGCCCTTGAGGAACCACTAAGACAACTGATTTTAAAAATATTGGAAAGAGTCATTATGAAGAAATAAAAATGTTACACTACAAAATACTCACTTCATGTAAGTTAAAGCTATGAAAGAATACCAGAAGAACAGAAAGACATGAGTGGATGTGGCCCTGTTGCAGTTGTGTGGACCATCCAGCATGCAGTCTGGCCCTGCCTAGGTGACCAAGCAGGGACCAGAAATTCAATAAACCTATGGCAGGATAATTTTTAAGTTGATCAGCTTGATGGCCCACAAATGATGTTCTAAACATCCAAATGGTCCTTGACCGAGAAAAGGTTCCCTCTTACAGCTGGGACACTTGGACACCTGTACCAGAGTGCCTGGCTTGGAGACCCAGTCCACTCTCAATTTCAGCTTCCTAGAGGTGCACACTCTGGGAGGCAGCACGGTGACAGGAAAAGTAGTTGGGTCCCTGCTACCCACATGGAAGACCTGGCTCAAGTTTCTGGCTTCAGCTAGGCCCAGCCTTAGCCACTGCAGCTACTTGGGCAATTCAACAGTAGACTGGAGCTTGTTCTCTCCCCCTCTCTTTTTGTGTCTCTCTTTACCTCTCAAATACATAAATAAAAACTGAAAAAGAAACATAGAAAACAAAAAGTAAAATGACATAAAAACATTAAATATTTATGAATTAAAAATCCAATGAGAGGCTAGGTATTGTTACATTTGGTTTTAAAAACCAAACCCAGAATTGACATCTGTTGTATACTGATTACAGGAGACACAATTCAGATTTACCGATATAAACAGTTTGAAAGTGAACTGGATGGGAAAACATATACCATGTAAATAGCTTCCATAAGGTGCTAGACTAATACTGAGGCTAATACAGACTTCGTAACCATTTGAGGGAGAAGAAATTGGGGTCAATTGCTTCCACTGCAAAGGAGGTTAATAGACTCTCACCAAAATCTCTGTTTCTGGCCCGAGGAAACGTAGCTAATAAAATAATTCCAGTGCCGGTGTGCAGGGACTGTCAGAAACCCCTTGCATCCAGGAGTCTGTTTTTCTTTCCCTCACTCAGCCTTGTTGTTGAGATCTAAGGGAAGGGAGTGGAAAGGTGAGATGTTCCTCACACAGCACAGAAAACAGGAACAAACTGGAGTGAGTCCTGGAGGGGAGGCCACTGAGTGAACCAGATGAGGATATTCTAGAACTCCTCCGAGAAACAGGCATGAGCTCCCGTCTGCGTCAGGGCCCTCGGCCCGGCTGCCGTTCGCAAGAGCACCGAGATGAGCCACGCTGGGGGAAGGCCTGCTGCCCGGGAAGCCTTGGCACCGCACTGCCAGCCGTCTCTGTGGTGGGCCTGCCACGGTGCTGATGTACACCTGCTCCAACGGCTAGAGACACAACGTGCCAAAGGACCCTTCCCTCTCAATTCCTGCGGTTAAATCATGCGGAGCTCTTGCACACCTCAGACTTCGTCAGTCTAATGTTCCTGCATGTAACTTGAGATGAACAGCATGGCATGAGCATCACCGAGAAGCACAGCGAGAGGTTCTACCTCGGCCTCGCCAGCTATTTAAAAGGGAGTCTGGGGGCTGGCACGGTAACACACTAGGTTAAAGCACTGCGTGCAATGCCAGCATCCTAAATTGGAGCGCCGTTTCAAGTCTGGCTGCTCCACTTCAATCCAGCTCCCTGCTAATGCCCTGGGAAAGCTGCGGAAAATGGCCCAAATACTTGGGCCCTTGCCACCCACATGGGAGACCCAGATGCAGTTCCAGGCTCCTGGCCCAGCCCTGGTCATTGCGGCCCTTTGGGGAGTGAACCAGGGGATGTAAAAAAATCTGTCTCAAAAAAGTCACCCTCTGAATAACCCAACACTACAATTTCATCAATCCCTTCCAATGGAATCTTAAAAATATAAAATTGGAGACAACGTGAGTTCTATTTAAGACAGAGTGCTTTGGACTCAAACTACTTCTTCACATCTCCAACGTTCTGTTTCTTTGTTTTCAAATGGTGCACACATAAAAGAATATGTAATTCAGAGGATTAAGTAAGGTGACCCACGTAATGAACCTGGCACAGAATCCGGCATCACTGGAGATTTTAGATCCTCATACTTACTGAGTGGAGGTTGAAGGAGACAAGACTACCTAGGGTATATTTTATCAAATAAAATAAGGAGATGCACTTGTTCTCCACATGCAGTCCAAACGCTGTTAGTCACTGAAGACTGTGTGGCCACTGGTCTTTGTTTCTGCTGCAAGACCCTGTTCCTCCTCACGAGAAATCACAGAGGACCCCATGTGCCGGGCTATCAACCCCACTCTCTATTTCACACCCATGCTAGGAACTATGGCCCACAGGTGCTACCGGGGTGTGCTCTCCTCCTTAGAAATCCAGAGCAGCAGGCCCTGGGCTCATCAGCTGCCTGTTTCCGGCAAGAGCATCCTCAGTGGTAAGAGAACAGGAGCTGGATGCCATCAGAACTGGCTGATCTTGGGCCGCCTGCAGTTTTCAGATCCCTTCTATCTACAAGGCAGGTCTGAGGAAGACGTAAAGGCTCACTCTGCTCTTGGGTGGACAATTCACAATTCTCATGGTGAAAAGCAAGTTGGCAGGAGTCCTCCTTCTAGACAGACACACAGCCCATTTGCTGACGGGAAGCCTGAACGTAGGGACCATGGGAGGGGAAGAGGAGTCTTGGAAACACAGTGGGCTCATTTTGTCACTGACAATAAATAGTATGCACATTAGAGGGTCTCTCTACATCTTAGTTTTCCATTCATTTAAAAACCCAGGGACGACGGTGCTGTAGTGCAGTAGGTTAATCCTCTGCCTATGGCACTGGCATCCCATATGGGCACCGGTTCTAGTCCCGGCTGCCCCTCTTCCAATGCAGCTCTCTGCTGTGGCCTGAGAAAGCAGTAGAAGATGGCCCAAATCCTTGGGTCCCTGCACCCATGTGGGAGACTGGTGGGAAGCAACTGGCTTCAGATTGGCACAGCTCTGGCTGTTGCAGCCATCTGGGGAGTGAACTGATAGTAGGAAGACCTTTCTCTGTCTCTCCCTCTCACTGTCTGTAACTCTACCTCTCAAATAATAAATCTTTAAAAAGAAAAAATAAAAACCCAGGGAGACTGAATGCAATGAATAGCACTGAACATAGTTTCTCACCTCCTACTAGCTGTTCTCAGTATTTTCAGTAGAAAGATGGAGAGAGGGTGCAGATAAGGAGGCAGAGGAATCAAGCTTGAGATTTAAAAAAGAAAGTTAACTGATGACTTAAAGTGAGAAGATTCCATGTGTTCTACATCATCAGGCAAGATTTTGAAAATTCATCCCAATCTGAGTCTCAGCTGGAAAACTCTACTACCTATTGGGCTGCCTTTAAGAACCTTTTGAATTTTAACAAATTGTCTGTTTTGAAAGAAAAGTCCAATTAGTCACACAGCCAATTTCAATCAAGTACATCTAACTAAATCTTCAACAGATATACAATAGAGATCACAAACACACTTTTTTTTTTTTTTTTTCTTTTCCTGTTTCTGCAACTGTTGGTAGACTTGCCAGAGACTACCTTGGGTGACTGCATTCTGCCTATGTAAAATGCCCTTTGATCTCCCCTGGGAACTACAACCTTCATTTTCTTACAGAAACTATTTATATAACACCAAGGGGGCATTTCAGGAGAGGGTGGGAGGTGAATGCTGGATCCTTATCTCCCAGAACCCCTCTGTTAGAAGGCTGCTGCAGCCAAGCAAGAGGTTACAGACCAAAGCCGAGGGGAATGCAATTAGGAGGCAGCAAAGCCTGCCTCAGCTTGCTCACGTGGCAGCACTGGCAACTTGCCAGTTGTCACATATGAAGCTTGCTCTGAGCCACTGGCTAAAGTCTACCAATCAGCCTGCAGATGTTCTGATGAGCTGGCTGACCAAGAAAGAACACGGTCATTCAGTGAATGAAAGCCTTGTTTTTCTTAGTTCACATGGCACAGTCCATGCCCTTTTGTTAAAACTGTGGTGACGGGGAGGGTGAGTTGTCAGAACACGAAGGGTGGCTGGCGCTGTGGCGTAGCAGGTAAAGCTGTTGCCTGCAGTGCCGGCATCTGGTATGGGCACCGGTTCTAGTCCTGTCTGCTCCACTTCTGCTCCAGCTCTCTGCTGTGGCTTGGGAAAGCAGTAGATGGCCCAAGTCCTTGGGCCCCTGCACCCTCGTGGGAGACCCAGAAGAAGCTCCAGGCTCTGGATCAGTCCAGCTCTGGCCGTTGGTGGCAATTTGGGCAGTGGACCAGCAGATGGAAGACTTTTCTGTCTTTAACTCTGCTTTTCAAATAAAAATATAAAAAAAATTAGAACAGAACTTGTGTTAGGTAGGAAATCAGATATGAGCTTATGTGTGTGTGACATAAAGGCCTAAAGAGAAGATGTCTATGTCTAGCATATGCATCTGCATCTCAAAGTCATCCCGATAATGTTTCAGGGGCAGCCCAGTGTTCGGATCCTGTCCTGCCCCCTCCTACCCGATAACCTGCTAGGTGGGGGTCCCTGCCCCTTCTGCCTGACAATCTTCCACAATCACAGCCCAGTATCTGCATTTCAAATACCCTGCTCCAGCTCCTGATTCTCCAGGGGGTCTTGCTCACCTTTCCTCTAAACTCAGGACAGCACCAGCTAGGCTTCCTCCTGTCTGATACCTTCAGGGGAAAACTCAGATAGGAGCTTCTTAATATTTGCATCCATAAAATCCTTTATTTCAGGAAGAGATGTGTGAAGACAAAGACCCATCTCCTTAAAAATCCCCCGCCTCAACCGGACTGCGCACTCAGCCCTCTGCCTCTCTGCTGAGTCACCTGCCTGCCTGCCCAGGTGTAATCTCTGCACTCAACCATGTAACCCTGCTCCTCCCCCCAGGCCGAGTGACTGAGCACTCTCTCTGAGGTCCTGTCTGGAGATGTGCCCATCCGTTCTTACGGGTGTCCTTTTCCCTAATAAACTTTGTTACTTTACTTTCCACTACTCTGTCTCATGCCTGAATTCTTTCTTGCGTGAAGACAAGAACCCTGCCATTCACCGGTAACATCTGCAGGACATGAGGTGGTCAAGAAAGATTGGTGATCAAGATTTGCCCACTTTGAGCTAGTAACAGAATTTCTTTGTTCATCTGACCAGGGTAGTTCACTGTTGGAATCCCATTTGAGGGGCTGGGGTGTGTCTTATATGAATAATACTCATACATCCAGAAGGGTTTCCTGACCCAGGTTAAACTATAGGTCACAGACTGAGAGCCTAGGTCATTAGGCCCCTTATTATGCCAGACTATAAAAAAGAAGGCAAATTACGCTAAAATGACCTGGAGTAGCTGCTCTCCAATATTTCAAATAAAACTGACAGTTTGAGTCATAGGGAAGTCAAGATGCTGTTTCTTTTCTCTGGTCCCCATCAACAATAATACTGAATCTTTTCAGTACATTCTTTCACTGTAGGTTGGCTCCTGCCAGGCAACCTATGAACTAGATGGCAGTCTTTGCTCCACTGGAAAGATGAGGAAGCAGAGGTATAGGACCCTGAACACATCAGCACCAGCGCTCACGAGTTAGAGGTAAGGATGAGAGCAGGCACTCCAGCTGTGTGTCCCAGGCCTCTATGTGAAGGCCACAAGGCGTCTCCTTACATATGTCACAGTAGTAAGGGGAGGGGCTATTCGGAAAACTATTACAAAAACTCAAAAAGAGGCTAATCTTACTTTTAAAAGTTTAGGGTTTTGTTGTTGTTTAAGTTTATTTGTGCCAGAGATAAATGCTTTTTCTCCTAGCTTTTCAGGGAGAAAAGAACCTTACTTCTACCTTCTAGGAAGATATCCCTCTCTCTCATGTGGGTGCTAGACTGCCTCTCCCCAACCCTGCTAGCTCTGGGTTTTCCTTTTGGAAAGAGGGGGAGCTCATCTGACTGTGAGAGTGGTAAGGGCCCGACTTCCACAGGGTGGGAGGGGACGAACTGAAATACGAGTTGTCAACAGGTGCTCGATAAAGGCCTTCTTGCCTCCCCATGGCTCCGTTCCTGGGTAGGTAAATGAAGCTTCTTTGGGTCCCCATATTTGGAGAGGGAGTAAGAACCACTATTATATATAAAATCCATTGCTGTATTATATGTTTTCCAATCCATGTCTGATTTCTAGAACCTGTGAGTATGTTAGGTTACAAAACAAAAAGGAATTCAAGGTGCTAATCAGTTGACCTTGAGATGGAGAGAATATCCTAGATTATCTGGGTGGGTTTTTATTGGCAGAAGAGAGGACAGAAAGAGGAAATGGTAGCATGAGGTAGCATGGCTCTGAAGATGGAGGAAGGGACCTGGAGCTACGTGGGTGGTCTATAGAAGGCAGAGGTTAGGGAAGCAGGCTGCCCTCTGCAGCCTCCAGAACAGAATCTGACCTCTGCCCAGTAAGTATGTTGCACTTCTAACCTAGCCAACTGTAAGATGACACATGTGTGCTGTTTTAAGTCACTAGGTTTAAGATAATTTGTCACAGCAGCAACTTCAGTTTTTCCAGGAGGAATAAAGCCGATGATAGCTAGTATTTTTTGAGCACTTACTATGTGCTGGTCATTGTTTTCAGCACTTTACGTGTACTGTTAGCTCATTTAGTCATTTATAACTATCATGAGAGAAAACAGGTTGTGGAGGGTCACATAGCTGTAAGTAGTAGAGCCAGGATTTCAGCACAGCCAGCTGGCTCCAGAGAGTTGATATTTCGCTAATATTGAAGTTAGAACCCATCATTGCCTCTTGCATCCTCCTTGTGGCGACTGTAGAAATTTACTTACATAAGTTACTAACTTTTTCAGATTCACCTGTAATTTCTTGGTTCTCTGTCCCTTCCAATTTGTAACACCTCAGGTAATCTGTTCAACATAGCTGAGGCCTACTATGTATAGGGTGCAGTCCCGCCAGCTATCTTTGAGAAAGGACAGAATCAAAGGAAGTGGCATTGTCTGACACACAGCAGGTGATAGATAAACATGTGTCTGTATCTGAAGGAGTGTCTGATTATTCTGTTGTCACGGGGACTGGCGCTCTGGCTCACTTGGTTAATCCTTCGCCTGCGGCGCCGGCATCCCATATGGGCGCAAGGTTCTAGTCCCAGCTGCTCCTCTTCCAGTCCAGCTCTCTGCTGTGGCCCAGGAAGGCAGTGGAGGATGGCCCAAGTCCTTGGGCCTCTGCACCCGTGTGGGAGACCAGGAAGAAGCACCTGGCTCCTGGCTTTGGATCGGCACAGCGCCGGCCGTAGCGGCCATTTGGGAAGTGAATCAATGGAAGGAAGACCTTTCTCTCTGTCTCTCTCTGCCTATAACTCTACTTGTCAAATAAAAAAAAAAGTAAGCAGTGATCACACATAAGAGTTAGAAAACTCCATTTTCTAACTCTTAAAACAAAGATTCAGCATTTCCCCAGCCCCAACCCTGGCGGGAAATTGCATGGATGAGTAATCCTGCAGCCCTTATTGTCAGTCTGTGTATGCAGTTTTGAGAACATCCACAAGAGGTGACCAGATATAGAAGTCACACTGAGTGAGAATAAAAGAAGTTGATGGGAAGGTAAAATGAAAGAAACAGTCTCAGGTCTTGACACTGGAAAGATAGTCTTTGCAGGTCAAAGAGACCAAAAATGAGGACCAGTGGGTAAAATGTATACAGGGGTAGATTTCTGCTCAATATAAAGGAGACTGTAAGGATCAGAAGTCTTCTGAAGTGAGCTGAGATGCCTGAGAGGCATGGTGCTCCTGTCTGTGGAAATTTGAAAGCAGAGGCCATTGATGGTCGTCTGTCAAGGGGTTTCTGCAGACCCCCGAGGCCAGGCCTGATTGCTGTGGAGGTGCAACAGTGAGAAGCTCTTGTTTCCACCAGTGCCAACCACATGTTGGCTGCCTCTCCTGGCAGGGAAAATGAGGACTCCACAAAGGCAGAATTCTAATGGTTTAGGGCAAACCTGGATGAAAACTCCAGTTTCCACTGCCCACAGTATAAATCAGACTGGAAACTGCTAGAGACCGAGGGACAAAGGGATCTATGTAAATACGAGTCCCATAAAGCTTATGATACCCACAGCTTCTAACTCTGCTATCCTAGGAAACGCACACAGCAGCTTCCACACTGAGCATGCCCAACTCCAATCTTCGATGACCCCCCCCCCCCACAGCAAATGAGTACTGGGATAAAGGGCAGATTTCTGTAGGGTCAGCCCCCTCTGACCCAGAGCCTAGAGCTGCAGAGAGACACTGCTGGCCATTGGGTCAGAATCACTCTGCTGGCGGCAGGATCCACACTGCTTTGCGGGAAGTTCTAACCATATACTCATTTCAAAGAGAAAGGTCATTTTTGGGGGTTACAGAGTAGACCTTTCTGCATCTCAGATGGACTGAACCTAACTCTCTGGTTGTGGGGCTCAGGGGTCTGATGTCTGAGTCCTCTTGGTGCTTTTTGTTTGTTTTGTTTTAAAGAGTTATTTATTTATTTGAAAGAGTTAGAGAAGCAGAGGCAGAGGGAGAGAGAGAGAGAAAGAAAGATCTTCCGTTTGCTGGTCTACTCCCTAAATGGCTGCAACAGCCCGCTGCGCCCATCTGAAGCCAGGAGCTTCCTCCAGGCCTCCCAGGTGGGTGCAGGGGCGCAAGCACTTGGGCCATTCTCCACTGCTATTTAGGTGCACTAGCAGGGGGCTGGATCAGAAGGGGAGCAGCCCAGACTCAAACCTATGGCCACACAGGATGCCAGCACCCTTTCCCGCTGTGCCACAGCACTGGCCCCTCTTTGGGTGCTTCTTTTGCACACTGACACTTGAGGATCACCAGCCCCAGGGATGCCCCATGAGGTACTATCAAGTTCATTCGGGGCTGGGTGTAAGATCTAGATTGAGGCAGGAGAAAGTGAAAGCTTATGGGGAGATGATAGGTTTAGTCTGACAGGAAAGGGGAAGAGCTGCTAGGAGGCAAGGAATAGAAGCAGTAAGTTACCGTTTGCTTCTTCCTCTATTAAATAAAGCCCACAAGAAGATAAGCTCATTCAAGAGTAGGAATTGTGGGGCTGGTGCTGTGGCGCAGTAGGTTAAGGCTCCACTTGCGGCGATGGCATCCCAGATGGGCATTGGTTCATGTCCTGGCTACTCTTCCAATCCAACTCTATGCTATGGCCTGCGAGGGTGGTAGAAGACGGCCCAAGGGCTTGGGCCCCTGCACTCACGTGGGAGACCAGGAAGAAGCTCCTGGCTTTGGATCTGCATAGCCTCAGCTGTTGCAGCCTTTTGGGGAGTGAACCAGTGGATGGAAGACCTTTCTCTCTGTCTCTCCCGCTCTCTGACTGTAACTCTACCTCTTAAATAAACTATCTTGAAAAAAAAAAGAGTAGTAATTTTGCCTGTTTTATTTTCTGAAATATTTTATTGACTGGAACATGACAGGCACTAAATAAGCTTCTGAGTAGATAAAGATTCTACTGAAGGCTGAAGTAGGTGAACTAGACTTCACATCTGGTTTTCTTTTTCTTTTTTTTTCCCCAAAGATCTGTCTATCCTAAAGACAGAGAGAGAGAGGGGGAGAGAGAGAGAGAGAGAGTCCATTTGCTGGTTCACTCCCTAAACGGTCAGGGTTGGGCCAGGGTGAAGCTAGGAGCCAGGAACAACTTCTGGGTCTCCCATGTGGGTGCAGGGGCTAAAGGACTTAGACCATCCCCGCCACCCTCCCAGGTGTATCAGCAAGGAGCTGAATCGAAAGTGGAGCAGCTGTGACTCTTAACTGGCACCCGCCCACCTACCAGGCCACAGCACCACCCCAACACATCTAGGCTTCTTTTGGTGAGGCAAGTCTGAAGGCTTGAACGAGATGGGCAAGGGCATCATATCTCATTTCATGGCAGCCTTGTGAGGGGGCTTCCTCATGACACAGCCAAGCTTGTGGCTAAGGGGCTAAATCATTCCTTTCTGCTTATATGCCAGAGCTAAGCGTGGATGTTTTTAACATAGGAATAATGAAGCCAGCTGGTGCCTCGGTGTCACCAGCACACTAAGGACAAGGCTGGGGACACTCCCCACTCAGACACAGCTAGGCAGGAGTGGCCAGATGTCCACTTTCAGGTTCCAAGCTACCCCTTCTGTGTACAAGCAGGGGCAGGGAAAGGGCCAAAGCCCCTCCCTGGTAACCCCACCTTCCCCTTTACTTGAACTGAGATCAGGGACACACAGAGTAAACTTAGCTAGGTTTCTTTCCTATTCAGTGTAGAAGATGGGATGATGAACAAGATTCCCAATGTGGGGTGAAGCTGGCTGAATGCTAGGGAACTGGGCTATTCCTGCATCCTTCTGAAATCCCGGAGCCACCAAGAAAGACAGGAAAGAGGTATGAGGCGATTCTCCATCTCACACTTACCACTCCTTCATTTACAAAGTTCTTATGCCAGTAATTTCTCCATCGTCTTTTATCACTGCATTTGCCGGTCATGTCTAATGTCTAGGTGAGTCTATCCCAGAAAGGACCTGGCTTTCTAGGGAACAGAGGGATTCATTTTCTCATATTAACTCTCCTTCTCACTCTTCCTGAACAGCAAGAGTTTT